AATTGTAGCAATTTCCTTACGGAATACTGAGCGATCCTTAAGGATACCAAACATCGCCCTAAAATCCTTACGGATCGGCGAATGCGTCCTTAAGGATTCAAGAGGGTCCGTAGAGTCCTTAAGGATTTCATATCTGATCCATATGGGTCCTTATGGATCCTTAAGGATTGTGGGGATTCTGGCGAAATCCTTAAGGACTTTTTCACTAGGGTGGGGGCATTAGTTTGGGTGTATGAGGTTATATTTTTATTTGTATGAGCTAGGTGAAGTTTGACGTTTGGTTTTAATTGAACGGTATGGTGTCTCGGTGCTGGTTACGAGTTGTTAGAGCCTTTCGTGAGTTGGGCCCTTATTGCACTTAACTCTACCTACACTACTCTACCCTACCCATACTCATACCCTGCCGGCTGCCCTGCCCATAACCCACCCTGCCAATACCGTACCCTGCCCTGCCCATACACTACCCACACCCTATCCTACTAATACCTTACCCTTCACCACATACCGTACCTCACCCTACTCATAACCTCCTCACCCTCTATCGAAACGATGTACCAAAACTGAGCGCAATCGGCCCAACCGTTCTTGAGATATAAAAGCGGCCCGCTGCACGTGCGCACGCGCTAACTGAGACTCCAGATGGCTTGTGCCAGCCACCTTTCTAAATTGTCCCCACCAGTGAACAAAATTTGAGCGAAATCGGCCCAGCCGTTCTTGAGATGTATAAGAAGACCCCTCACGTGCGCACGTGCAGTCGATCCACCCTACCTGTCACAAATGACCATACATCGCCAGGAGAGTGCCCCCTCCACCCACAGTCCAAGTTTCAGCGCAATCGGCCCAGTAGTAGCTGAGTTATTCCTAGTACAATAATGTGCTGTTTACTGGTAGGCGCTTATTTTCAGTGTTTGGAATTCCCCTTTGCGGGCGGTGCATTGCAGACCATGCTTTGATAGCTATTGTGAAAAGTGGAATGACCTGACGGCCATAAGCCATCGATCGGATTTTGTCGAAAAATACCTGTAACGTTAACGAAACACGGTCGTATGTTTGAGTTATTTTCACAAAAGTTTATTGACTTTTCGATAATATTTTGGGTGGATATTGGTCAGAAAAGAATGCTCTTTCCGAATATGTAGGTTTCATAGCGATTGATCAACGTTTTCAATACGTTTCGATGTTGTAAAGGACATCGCGCTCCGCGCGAAATAAATTTTCCAATTAATGTTTCATTATTAAGGAAATGGTACGGATCATCGCTTTTTATCTGCTATCCTCTGATTACACGTACATTTGCCTGCAAAATGGCACCACACCGATTTCATTCCGTCAAGCCGTTTTCCAGCGGCATCGATTTTCCCGTCACAATGCACGAAATCGGTCATTTTTTCACAACCGGGGATGCTGTCTTGCACGTGGCGCGTGCTACACTATGAAACCATATCAATACGCTAGGCCCATCTCTCCTCTATCGAGTGGTGTAAACCGCTTCTCGCTGCGACCCTCCGTTGCCGATTTATACAGCCGGGAAGCAAGCGCCGCAGGCCGGTTTTCGCCCGATCGTCAATTTAACCGTTTCCTGTGTTAACCCTATGGCGCACGCGAGCGCGTGCTGACGGCGCACCCCTGGACCGATCACGCCCAAATTTTAATACAAAGGCCGCCCGTGCCCACAGATTCGGCATGCTAAAATTTCACGCCGATACGCGGCGCCTTTCAGGCGCATTAAGACACATAAGTCATGACACATGGATGGATGGATGGAGAACGCACGGACGACTTATAAATCATAATATAGACTAGAGGGACAGCATTACGCGCAGCGTAATAAGTCAATTTTCATTAAAATCGGCCCAGTAGCGGCCGAGTTATTGCCAGAATAAATTTGGCGTCTCCTCTTGGCCGGCGGTGCCCTGTTCCGGTATTCATTGCCAAAGGTCAGTGACCTTCCGGCTCTGATTTCGCTCAGTTTTGCAAGCGAAGAAACTGAGGCTAATGCGCGTGCTCTCTGATCGGCGACGGCCGCGGCCCAACATACGGCAAAGATGCGCCCGCCACGTGCAAGCCACCGAACCCACCCCCACCAAAATTTAATACGACAAACAGATGCACGCGTCCGACTTGCGTCGAAAATTTCACCCCCGTAGCCCGCACCGTTCCGGAGCAATAGCCCGCCAAGCGTGACTGACGCGTTACATACATACATACATACATACATACATACGTACAGACGTTTTGATTTTTATATATGTAAATTAATAGCATGGAGGATATTGTGTTATACGGATCGAGCTGGTTGTTCATATATAGGTACTGTGATAATGTGTGCTTAGATGGAATGTGACTAAAGTTAAAGGTAGTGTGCCAGCTTTCTTGGACCGTATGGAGTTAATGACCCGGATAAGGAGAACCGGATTTTTAGAACTCATCCATATCTTCAAAGCTCATGGAAACGTCTTAAATTCTTCAAATTTTGAGTACCCCAGTGCGAAATTCGCCCCGACGGGTTGTCGGTCGTAACCCAATCACATTTCACACCACTATGAACAATAAATGCACACAATAAAATCGCTATTACCGATAGGCTCATCCAATCAAGTTTCGATAAACCCGTTCATCATCATCTCCTGCGGTTTCGAACACGCCTGTTAGGTGGCTTCTGATGCTCGTCGAGGTCGGAATTTCCAAATACGCGTGGTGCGTCGGGCCGCGCGCTCCTGACTTCGGCCAAGAAAAATGCGTCAACTGATCATTGTCATTTCTGCCACTTGCGTGTGGTGAAGTGGGGTCATAACTTAAGAGACGGCTGTTTCATATCAATTATTTTACATAAAATCATATTTCAAACCACAAATTTATGTTCGACAGCCAAATTAAAGAAACAATACCAATACAGGCTTGCAGTTTATGTTCGACATTGCGTTGTCTACGATTAGAACAGCTGATAACTCATTCCCGTACGTCGTAACTCTATAATGACCTTTGCTTATTGTCACATGTGCGCCGCATTCGCGATTGTTGCCAATGCCGACGCCTGTTTGCAGGTCAGCCCACCACAGTTGTTATACATATCGAAAAACCGATAAACTTTTAGGCTAAAAAGTCACTATTCCAGGCCCATTTTTTTTAAGTAAAAACAGAAGCTTCTTATCCTAGGAAAAATAAAATGGGAAATCATTGGAAGGTGGCACACTACCTTTAAGGCCAACAAAGTTGACCGAAGAGTATACTTCCCTACCAACGTATGGTGTGCTTACATTTACACCTCGCTCTCCCGTTGTCATGACTCATGACTATCTGGTGCTGGTTTCTGATTCTAGTGCAGCCTTTGAGTTAGTCGTGAATCGTGACGTGATTCCCGGTGCGTAAACTCCTTACCCCCCCCCCCCACCCTTGGGTCACCGATTGCTCAATTATGTACAGTGAAGTGTGAACCTATTTTGCGCCGCCATTCAACTCTTTCTGGACCGCCTCATTAAAACCATGTCCTCAGATCCTGTCACTTAATTCAACAGCTTCACTTTACAGAGCACATTGCGATCAACATGACACGGATCGATTTGTTCTATACGAATGTTTAGTTAGCTGTTTTGAAGTGGGTGATTTTGTGAGACTTCGATGACGTTGAAAGATCGTACAAAATATGCTCATCTCAAACACGGCATTTCTCAGCCGATCGCGATGAAAGTGCACCAATCAATTAACCGTTTGCGGTAGGTCACCGTAAGTCAACTTATAAACCTTTTCACAACTGCTTATTATCCAAAGGCGAACATCAATGAAATAGCTAAGTGTGACATACTGGGGCTAATACGTTAACTGGGAAGGGGGGACGCAATTGCCTCCCCAGTGGCCAACATTCCCCCCCCCCCCAGTCAAAACGTGAACTTTTTGCAAAGTATACATAATACGCTTTAGTGATGGTCGGTTTAGCCTCCAGCAGGGGCGCGGGAACTGCTTTCAGACGGGGGGGGGGCACACCACGATAGAGATCAACCTAGGGTACCCCTAAATCTAGTTTTCTCACCGGTTTTAGGCCACTTATTTTTCATCCCTTGACTTTTGCAAAAAAAAAGAAAACATTTGCATAAAAAGTGCGGTACCTATTCCGTCTCAAAGTTATGGGGGCACCGCCCCCACGGCCCCAGAGTTGTACTGCCTTCCCCCCCCCCGTTCCCGCGCCAATGGCGTTCAGAAGGAGAAAATTACAAAATAGTCGTTTTCACGAAAAATGTTTTTCTGCAATAGCTTTTGACTCAAAGGAGTTACGACCTTACCTTTGCCAGCATCGTGCTTCTGTCGGCGAGACGCGTCAAACAAATTATAAGTTGACCTCGAAAGGTCATTTTTAAAATTTGACCTCAGGTCAAGGCCATTAGGCCATCAAGGACCTGACCGGGAAAGGTAATGCTGCATATCAGTCTATCCGGTCGAGCTGAACACATGAGGTGTTTACATCGCTCTGGCATGTCTCTATCAAAAGTTATTGTCAAAAGACTCATGGGGACCTGTCATGACCTGATATGACCTCAGGTACACAAAGAGGGGTCACGGGCGGGATTTTCCGATTCGGTGTGTCATTTTTACCTGTACTCGTAAACCGGTGTTTTAGTGCTTACAGCGACTTTCTTGAGAGTGTTTAGAACGACTTTGACTTTTCACTTTGAAGTTATTTTTCGGCTTGCTGAGCGTATAAGGCAGAGGGCTATTGCACGGAAATGCTAGTTTTGTGATTTTCAGAGAATTAAGTAGCAAATTATCAACTGGCAGCTCGCCAGTGAGTACTCGTAGTGACCCAACTCATCTGGTCACCTGATTATGGGTGGCGAAGGAGTGATAAAAATTAAAATATCATGTTTGACCCGCCCCCCCCCCGAAATCCCTTAGACGAGGCTCTGTACCGCAGCATTCGTCAACCGATGCCAATACCTCACCACTCGGACAGTGTGTGGGCCGCCCGGGGAACGGGGAACTACCGATCTCCACCTACTGTTTATTAAGCGGCCTCCGCGGGGCGGGCCCCCCACTCCGAATCACGGCTGCATTGTCGCGCATTCCCAGCCGTCCAGTCTTCAGGTTAGGTCGGCAGCAGGCAGTGACAGGTGCACAAGTCATCTTATTGTCTAGTTGAGCTGAAGAGCTGAAGGAGAGTTTTCCGTCTACCTCTACAGCCGGCACGACCAGCACAACATCGGCACCATGAGTCAGGTGAGAGAGGTCAGAGTGCGTAAGGAGTGACGGAGAGTGCGGTGTCAGGGAGTGATTGTAAAACAAAATTAGTTATGTGGGAGTTTTCAAATCACTCGCACCGCCGTCAGGTATTAGCTGAGTGGTAACGGGTAAGTGTCATTCTATACCACTGGTCATTGTAGCCAACGCAGGACAGTTAGGCTTCCTAGGTAACTACTCATTGCTCAATGCTCAATGCTTTACTACCTATGTTATTCAGATGGCGAACAGCGAACATAAAACAAGCAAAATCACTGAGGGCCGAGGGGGTATTCTGCGTTTAAGGTAGCTCTTGCCATCTAGTTACACATACATTGGTTGGCAGCTACATATTTGTTGGTATGCCTCATATACCTAAGTTAACAGTAAACACATGCTAATAACCTTATTTCGGGGGCGACTATACGAGTTGCGTGCGAAAGTGGTTACATAGGAAGGTACATGATCAATGAAATTGCCAACTAAAAAAGTAGGTATTTTGTGTCTTTCCTTTCAAAATTTGCTTTCCACTGCGTCCTGAACCTCCAAGACATAAAGTAGGTAGGTTTGCGTAACAGATATCAGTCACGGCGATATCATGGTTAAGTGTTAATCTACACCTTTCCTTACCTTTCAGATACCTGTCAGTGCCAAGCAGATACTCAAAGAAAATGGTACTGGAGGCTTCACGCTCTGTTCGGACACCCTGGAGAGCATCCTTGGGACAGAACACGCCGATAAACCCGTGATAGTGATATCAGTAACGGGTACAACCGACCCCGGCAAGACAATGATTTTTGACATGATGCTACGGCATCTCGATCCATCCACAAGGAGCACAGACGATCGTGGCGGCTCTACAAGAGGAAACGAAGACCGTCCATCACGGAACAGCGGCATCGAGTTGTGGCCGCACCTGTTTCCCGTGACGTTACCCACCGGGGAGGAGGCCGTCATCGCGCTCATGGACACCCAGGGCGCCGCTGATGACGCGCCGCGGTCGCAGGCGGTGCAGGCCCTCGCCACTCTGCTCAGCTCGCTGCAGATCTTCAACGTCGTGGACGACTTGAGTGACGATGTTTTGGAGCAGCTGAGGCAGTCCATAGAGTTTGGTCAAACGCTGTCGAAGAGCACCAACGCTCCGGCCTTTCAAAAGCTCATGTTTGTTGTGCACGACTGGAAGGCGATAGACAAATTTCCAGTCGGGGCTGGTGGGGGTGACCAACTTGTGAAGAAATGGCTCCTGCAGAACGGTACAACAAATAAGCAAATCGAGATGGCCCGCCAGCATATAGGTGACTGCTTCAATGACGTTAACGGATTCCTCCTGCCGTTTCTTGGGCCTCCCAGCGATCACTCTCCTTCCGCGCCTGACGGTTCTGGTCTGCTGGGTGTGCTCCCGCTAGCAGTTGTGTTCCCACCAGCACTGCTGTTCGTACCAGAAATACTTCGCCACCGGTCAGCTTTACTGCAGGGGACAAGGAGTCGTCAGCTTATCAATGAATTTTCTGCCAGACTCATTGAGCTGATCCAAGAGACTCTGGCGCCAGAGAATCTAGCTATCAAGGTTGTCGCGGGCGAGCGCCTCACCACTGGCGACCTGTGCAGGCTCATCACCAAATATGTGGAACTGTTCTCCAGCAAGGAGCCGCCGAAGCCGGAGGACGTGGTGTACGCGACGATCGCTTGTCTGTATCCCGCAGTACAGGCCGCCAAAGAACAATATGTAGAGGCGATGGCCAGTGTGTTTCGTGAGGATCAGCCCGCGTTGAATGACGACGAGCTGATGAGACAACACAAGGAAGCCACAGCGAAGGCAGAGGCAACCTTCCACGCACAGAAAAAGACGGGAAACGACTCTCTGGTACAGAACGGCCTGAAGATACTGCTGAAAGACATTGAGAAGTGCTTTGATGATATTGATCGTGAGAACACTGGCAAACGCAAGAAGGAGGAACAGGCAGCTGAAAAGAAGAAGAAGGAAGAGAGCCAGCAGTACATCATAGAGCTCGTAAAGACCTGTACGGAGATGTACATCAACGCGATGAAAGCTGTTGCCGACGTCGACGGCTTCGTCACTCGAGACAATTTAAGAAGGGCTCACGCCACTGCCAAAGAGAAAGCGATGAACAAGTTTGACGCCAGGAGCAAAAACCACACAGTCGAGTGGGACAGTCGCTATTGGTTAACCTGTGTCATCGGTGCACGCTTTCGCCTGATGCAGTACCACAACGAGGTCATGAAAGACGCTGAGGATCGACGAGCCGTACGTGGCAACATGAAGGCCGTGGAAGTGGCTCTCAAATCCTACCGAACTGTGCTGAGCTCGACGATTTCTGGAGAAGGCATAAACGATGACAGTCTGCTGCGTCAACATGATCGGACAGTCGCGGCAGCCGTCGACACTTTCAAATCGCTCCATGAAGGGGATGAAGATACGGCTGAAAAATACGTGCAGGAACTCAAGACGCTCATCGGTGAGGAGTTTAAAATGATCCGATGCAGTCTCAAATCATAACACCCACTGCGACCCACAACGAACCGCGACGAGTGTCGATCGAGTGTCGGTCGGAGTCGACAGTCCTGCGCGGAGTCGGAGTCGTGGTCGGAGTCGCCAAAATCTTATCCGGCTCTGACCCTGATGTCGGAGTCAATATTGCATGGCTTAATGGCATGCCCGACACCTCTTTGCTTGAAAAAATCGTTCGTTGATCTTTCCAAACCAGGTATTGTCGAAGCTAAGGCAATAATTCTTTTTTGAACGAGCGTTGTCAGCGAAAAAGCAGAGGGCAACGGCTGCGCCAGGGCCAGAGCCTGCTTATAGTTCTCCATGTTATGTTTGTAATGCATGTCTTTGAAACGCGCATAGGATTATTTAAGGCAAGAGAAAAAGATGCAATGAACGTAAAGGGAAACCGGAAACGTCCGAAGTCTGAGCTGGAGTCGGAGTCGACTCCGACTCCGACTCCAGCTACGGAGTCAATTCCGACGTTGTTTTGACGACGAACTCCGACAACTTGTTCATTTTACGGGGTCGGAGTCGGAGTCCCTTAAAAGTTACCGACTCCGCAGCTCTGTCTGTAGTATTAGAATGTTTGAGTGTTGACTGGTTCTACTGTGATCCTAACTATGTGAGCCGGAGGCAGCGAGGCGTCCAAGGAACCTGTCCGTCACTTTAGGTGTCAGTATGTTATTGTGGATGATTTGTTTAATCGAGACAGCACTTTGTACATAATGTGACGAAAATACATTTTACGTAGAGCGACCACTTTGACATTGTTATGTTTATCTTTACCAAACGCGTTAAACCTTTATATGGGAGAGGTCATCTTGGTTGCTGACCTCAGCTTAAAGTTGAGGCCGAGGCCGCTCAGGTCAGGAAGTTTGTCGAAGGGGGACACATTGCATATCATTCGATTCAGCAGATAATTCATAGAGTCATGTGTGCTGAACTCAGATGACCTCAATCGACCCATTATGTATGTCACATATGACATAAATAGATATCGGCCATATGAAAACGTACCTACTGTGTTGTGTCAGACCTTGCAAGGAGTTCCAATATAAAAGCTCACGTTCCAGAGGGATGGGATTAGATCGTTACCGGCGCCGAGAGCAGTAAGCAGTTTCAATGTTCCCGGATTGACTTCAGAGTTCAGTCTTAGGTATACATAGGTAGGGCCTAGGGGAGCATGGGGTAATTTGGCCGGCAGTATAATTTGGCCGCCCCCACCTTTACGATATCCGACAAAATATAATGAAAAAAATCTAGCCTCTATTCATGTGTCATGCGTGGAACTAATCCGTGGCAAATTTTCAAAAATCTCCCCTTCTTAATTTTCTTCAAAATCAATAACACATGAATTTGATTAGAAAATGGTAGCTTTCACTTCCGTTCGAAAAATTGTATAGCATGTGGAATTCGAGTAGACAAATTTCGACATTGTGGTCCCATTGCTTAGGTAGGATGCTCGCTCAACTTCAAGAGTAGGTAATTTCACGCATTTTCGTATAACCGTAACGATTTTATAGAGTGTAGACAAAACTTTTCAGAATTGCAATGCGGGGTAATTTGGCCGGTGCTAGTGGAGCAGCTTTGACGGTGCCCTCAGAATCGCTATGCTGGGAAGTGGGACAGCCAACTTGATAAGGTCGTCGTGCCGAGCTGTTTGGTTTTATAGCCGTTGGCGGTGGCATTGCGACAGTCTGCCTCCTAGGGGCTCATCAAGACACCGCGCAATGCAGCACTACCAAGATGCTAGGGATCTGCTCAAACCAAATTGATAGTCACATCTCCAGCTCGCAAACACTATCGACAACTTGTTTGCAGACATCGGAAGGTTACGAGATGCGAGTATTTGAGACTGAGTTGAGTTATTTCATTGATTGCAAAGAACTTTTAATTGAAATTAGTCGATTATTTCCTTACTAGAATAAAAAGCTAACGTTTTCCCCAAACAATGCCCTCTTAGGTACTAAATTCACTTATTATAAGTTTCATTGTGAAAATATTTTTTGATAATAAATAAATCGTTTAGCGGACTGACTGTGTGTAAAGAAGCTATTTTTCTCCTGTACCGCTGGGCGACCCGACCGGACAGATCCGGCCGTACCGGACGACCAGACAACTGAACGACCCCGTACTATATACGTACATCGGTACATTAGCATCCCCTACGTCAAAGGAACCAGCGAAAGAATTGCTAGGATTTTAGCGCCGCACCAAATTCGGTTAGGATAGGTTTAGCTCGAAGTCAACACTCAGGGACAAACTAGTTAAAGCCAGGGACGTACCACCAAAGGATTTGCAAAAAGGTGTCATTTACAACTGACTTCTTGTGATTGTGGTGTCACGTATGTTGGCGAGACCGGGCGTCCTATTGTTTTGTCAAGACGCATCGAACATAGGCGGCGGAACGGGGAGGGCACCGGGGCACCGTGCCCCCCTTTGATTTTTGCATTTTAACATTAGCCCTATGGGCGTTGCATGGAAAGATTTTTTATAAATTTAGTTCGAATGTTTGAATAGACGGATTGACAGAGCCGACGCCCACGCTAAGCAGAGCTTGTTGCGTAGACCCCGACCCCTACAGTCCGATCGCGCAATTCCGGGTAACGGGAGAATTTAGATGCCAAAGTTTAACGTGCCCTTCAAAGCCGGACACGGCCTGTCCCACTCAACTGACTTCAACTGGCTACGGATGCTCCCACCAACCGCAGACCATCCCCGTCAGGAGTCTCATATATCGAGCGCCGGAGCGACTCGAACCCGGGCTCTCACTACCGGGAGTCCGGTGCTCTACCAAATGAGCTACGGGACAGGCTGAGACCAGAATGGGAATGGGACCAAAAGTCGGCAGTGCCCCCCCCCCTTAATTGAAGGGGTTCCGCCGCTACTGGCATCGAATGATGATAATGTACATTGTACAGCCCTCAGCAGACTGCGTGGTAGGAATTCTTTTTTTTTCGACAAAACCGGCAATAGGTAACTCAAAGATAATGTTATCAGTCGGTCGGAACTCACTGCAAATAGAGGCGCCATGCTCCACTCCTTCGATTGGGTCTATCACTAAACAAAGTATATGCCTTGTCACGTGGCAACAAAATGCAAAAGTTTGTTTTGGGGCAAATATAGATTTTTGGTTTTTGTTGCCAAACTGGATGGAAAATGAGTACGATGGTAATACCAATCTTAAATCTAAGGTGCGGAGTCTCGCCGGACTCTCGCGCGTCTTGCTGTTACGATTTCCAAGCGACCGGTAGCTATAGTATCCGCGGTATTCTCGGTTTTGTCGAAAAAAAAAATACCACTACCACACAGTTTGCAGAGGGCTTTTTGTTCGGTAACAAAAAGCCCTCTGCATGTTGATGCAAGCAGGCCTTTGCATGTTGACCACAGTCCAAACCAGTAGCGGCGGAACACCTTCGATTAAGGGGAGGGGGGGGGGGGGGTTACAGGCACTGCCGACTTTTGGTCCCATTCTTTCCATGCAACGCCCATAGGGCTAATGTTAAAATGCCAAAATCGAAGGGCCAGCACGGTGCCCCGGTGCCCTCTCCGTTCCACCGCCTATGGTCCAAACGAAGAATCTCGGATGACTTTGGATGACCACTGACCAGTTGACACATGAAATGTAGGTAATTGATTGTGAACCTACGTGATGTAGGCGCTGACCACGAATCTAATAGGTATCCACTTAGCTTTGAACATTCATTCAGAGTCTCGGGATAGCGAAAATAACAATCATGCCTAATGGCTGACTTAAATCGTCAGATATGGCCTCTAGCAACGATACCCTCTTTACATGACGTAGACTTGAACTCGGACCAGCCTGCAGCCCTACATTGTTAGGTATACGAACCACAACTGTTCACTGTTGCCTAAGCCTTGACAATTTTTTCAAGAACATTTTGGAATTCGTTCATACCTATGACACACAAAAAAGTGTCAAGTTTTCGGACAACTTGAAACATGACCCTGACCTTGGCATTACCTAAATTTAGAGCTTAGATATATTATTCTCATAAGCGCGGGAGCCGGGGGGGCAGTGGGGGCAGCTTGCCCCCCCCCCCAACTCTGGGGCCGTGGGGGCGGTGCCCCCACAGCTTTGAGACGGAATACCACACTTTTTTTTGCAAATGTTTTCTTTTTTGTTGAAAAAGCCGAGGGGTAAAAAATAAGTGGCCTAAAACCGGTGAGAAAACTAGATTTGGGGGTACCCTAGGTTAATCTCTATTATGGTGTACCCCCCAGTCGGAAAGTAGTTCCCGCGCCCCTGATTATTCTACTCCTCAGAATGTCTGCCTTCGCTTCCAACCATTTTTGCCCGATTCGGATTTTGTCTTGCTATCAGTAGTGGCGGAACACCCTCAATTAAGGGGGGGGGGGCGCTGCCGATTTTTTGTCCCATTCTTTCCATGCAACGCCCATAGGGCTTATGTTAAAATGCCAAAATCAAAGGGGGTACGGTGCCCCGGTGCCCTCCCCGTTCCGCCGCCTATGCTTGCTATCCTCAGGGCTGGAGCAGGGCCTCCTCTAAGGATTTTTCACTGGGTGGGCAAAATTTTCGCAACTCCCCTGCCCAAAGGCGGATCCAGCCACTTGTTTTGGGGTCCAACCAATTTCAAAACCTGCGACCGGGCGGAGGGTGCGGGGGTGAGGCGAAATAAGCTAAGCTGTGCCATTTTTTACCAAGCTGATTTTTTTCCAAGCTGATTTTTACCTTGTAAGACCGATGAAGAGCAGTGCTCGAAATATCGGGCAGGGGCTCTTCATAGCCCCCCTCCTAATTCCGAAACTACTGGGCCGATCGTCAAAATTCAAACGGCGTCTGATAGCCCCAGAAAACTGTCGGGCGAAACCTAATTTCATTGACCTCGAGGTCACCGATGACGTCAGAGGTCAGGTCAAAGTAAAAATTATTAGCATTTTGGCTTGTTCACATTTTGGGCTCTGGCCGCCGTCTTACAAGTCAGATCAAGCTCATTTTTTAGTTACACACTCGTGAACAGATGCTTTAGATACCCTCAAGGTACCAAAATTGTACTTTGATTTTCAGGTCAGGGTCAGGTCATCACAGGTCACGGAAATATTATATCATGCGTCGGTCAGGTGACACATGTTTTATGGTCCATTTAGGCCATATATATATATATATATATATATATATATATATATATATATATATATATATATATATATATATATATATATATATATATATATATATATATATATATTTCGAATTTGATGTCGTTTGTGTCATTTGAGGTCATTTTGAGTTGAATTTAGCTTAGGTCAGGTCACTTCCAGGTCAAAAAAGGTCAAATTTTGAAGTAAGAACTTTTCAACAAAAAAGTGTCTATTGGATGCAGTTTGAGCTCAAGAACACGATGGTGCTATTTATATTGGTGTACGATGTCAAAAACGCACGGAAAAATTGATTTAAAAAAATATTATTGTGAATTTTTTGCAATAATGCGTATAATTTGGCCATTTTTTTTTAATTGAAACTTGCTAGTGTAAGTCATTAGCATGTGTTCTATCACATATATTTGTTTTTTTCGAAAAGTCCAAAAGTTTTTGAAAAAATAAAAATAAAAGTTTTGAATTGTTTCTCAAATTTTGAAAATTTTGAAAATCCCAGATAGCAGTTTGATAGCGCAGTCTATTCTGAGCCCTCTCATGCAAATAAATTGGATCTAGCTTAACCCTATTCCTGGCGGGCTCCGCCGGGACAAGAAACTGGCGGGGGGGCCGATTCGTCCCCCCTGAAATCTCGAGAACGAAGCAAGATAGCGACAAACGGTAAACGGCATCGGATACGCACGGTCAAGATCTACAATTTTTACTAAGGTCATTTTCAGGTCAGGTCAAGGATGACGTCACAGGGGTCGAAAAAGTCAAAATGGCGGCGCTAGATATGGAGAGAGTTTTTCTCGAATAACTTTCGAATTAGTCAAGATAGGAACAAACTAAGGGCATCATCGTGATCCTCTCGTCAATCCGCATCGAATGATATATATGTTGACCTCGCAAGGTCAAGGTCAAAGGTTGACCTCAGGTCACGTGACCTCGAGGTCATCATGTATATCATTCGATGCGTCTTGACGAGCTGAACACAATGAGACCATCCACGCGTCTGTATCTTGTTCCTGTACGGAGTTATTGGCCAAAAACCTTTGGTGACCTTTGATGACGTCACATGACCTCACAGCTGCCCAACAGCAAAACAGACCTCAAGGTAGTGAAGGTTGATCGTATATGAAGTCATGTATGGTATATGGGGCCATTCCGACCCGTTTTAGTGGTAAAAACAGGGAGTTGATTTTTCCCCCATTATTGACTTATAATGGGGAGGTCGCGAAACTGACCTGACCTTAGGTCACCGATATCAAAATTCCGAGATATACAAATTGCACATACTGGTACCCTAACTATAGCCTGAAGAGAAGAAATTGATCGGTCAAAAACTCTAGCTCTGGCGTGATTGCAAACTTTTCTGAGGTAGGGTCACCAAACCGCCTCTGGGCTCTGGTGACCTGACCTGAGGTCAGATTAACTCAAAATTTACAGACATGTTGCGTAGAACCCTTTTAGGAAAAGTCAGAAAATTTGAGCTTCCTAGCTCAACGCGTTTGGGAGAAATAACCAAAAAACCTCAGGGGGGGGGGGCTCCTGAGGCCCCCCCCCGCCAGGAATAGGGTTAAAAACTGAGCTCTTGGGAGCGATTGCCGTGGTTCAATGTTTTGCGTCGAAATCGGCCGAACATGATGTCACTCTGGCGTCATTTCCGGCCGACCTATGGTAGCTACAAAGTTCATATTTTGACAAAAGGTGTCAAATTGATGCAACCGAAGGTACTGAAAGTTTGGCTTCTATACGTCAAGCCGTTTGGAAGTTATTGCAGAAAAACGGGAGGGGGGCTATGAATACCCCCCCCCCCCCCAGTGGGGCGCGGGTTAAGACCGGAAATGTATGTACCGGACGTCCTGCCAGACCTTAATTTTTTTATTTGCTTCTGGGTGGGCAAATCAACGCCACTGGGTGGGCAATTGTGGTGACTTGGTGGGCATTTGCCCACCCAGTGGGTATGTTAGAGGAGGCCCTGGGCTGGAGCGCGGTCGGCGGTAGATTGAGGTCTCAACACATGAGCTGGCTTTGACCTTTGGGCTGGCCTTTGACCAGAGATAAATTAACTAAGGCTCTTTAGATTTATAATCCTCTCATTGAGACATTTCGTTTGGTACCGCTTTTGTTTCCATAGCTTATCCGTGGACGGAGGGAGCTAGAGGGGAGGGACGAAGTACGCCCCCCCCCGGGCTGGATGGCAAGTCTTGCCCCCAGGCCCGGCTGTGGGTGGGGGGTGGGGTGGGGTAGAACGTCAGGTCAGAAACAAGCTAATGCGTCCACCCGAGCGACATTACCATTTTTGATCCATTTGCACGCAATACGCACAACAGAAACATTCTGTGTATAATCGTCCCATTTCAGCACTATAGCAGTCCGCATTCCGAGCGATTACTACAGGATTACTAGCCGGCTCACTCAATTTCAATCCGTTTCCCATTAGTTATTCGGTATTCCGCCTAGCAGGCGGAGTCGGTGCGCAGTGCTGCCCTGATGCACCGCGGCTCAGTCACCGTACAGCGTTTTCATTGGTCCGCGCCGGCCTTGGAGCGGCGGAGCTCGTGGAGAGGCTATCTGGTCGCCGCCGTTGGAGGCTTCTCAGGAATAGTGCCGCGTGGGGAGGAGTCAGACACAGGCTCCCCCGGCTGTCAACAAAGAAACCTGGCAAGCTGCCAGTTGTCATTAAGGGCCATTTCTCTTGACTCACCAGTGAATACTGGACCTTATGGGCTGCCGGTGACAGCTGCCCGGCGCCGGATCAATAGCTGGGACCGGGACCGGTGCTGCCGCAGAACCGGACTTTAACGGTGCTAGGGCCGTTCCGGGCGCAACGCGCGGTCCCAGACTGGGGCGGCCAGCTGGTGTCGAGCCGGCGGATACTGCGCGGCACAAGCTGATTGGCTGTCGCTGTTGGGCAGCAGCTGAGTCAGCTGCGTGACAAAGAGCCGGATGTGGGCGATAGGCGCGGCTCACGCCTGGGGCCCTGCTGTAGCGGTTACCAATGGTTGTTGGAATGCTAAACATTCCGCTCCTTTTGATGAACCGGACGGGAGGCATGCGTCAGGGGCCTTCATCCAAGGAATAAGGATGGGTGTCACTTTACGATATTTATTGGGAGGGCTCTTATGGTTGGTTGTTAGATGTAAGATGAAGAAATCATGCAGCGTCAAAGGAATAGCCGAAATTATTGGTAGGTTGGGTGCCTATCAGGTCTATTCAAAACGATACCCTTCATAATTCCTCGATGGCTCTTAAAAATGTACTTAGAAATCAAATGCATTGTAATGAAGCACATTTTGGGTTGGCTCTGATATATGATGTGATAGGTAGGTATATGCAAGGTGCGAACTGTTCGCTTTGTTTCTTTTCAGAATGTAATAAAACGTTTCTTTTTCGAGCATAGGAGCTATGCGAATAAATTGAACGTTTCCCTGTATTCGCATTTAGCTTGAACTATATCGGTCAGTTACTGACTAGCATCTTTTGCAGACCTCTTCCCTAATAATATTATGCTTACGTTATGGTAGTGAATCGGCTGGCTAACCAGTAGCAATTTGATAATGTGCGTTCACTTCAGCTCTCACTTTTATCACGTTCAATCCGCAAATTATACTGCACTTCTACAGTAGGTAGGGTAGGGCATAAAGGGTAGCAGGCACGATCATTGAGCGTCGAAGCATAATATAGTTCCAAAGTTAAGTGCCCACTAAGGCTGGGTTTCATTTCACCCAAACATTTCAGCTTGACTGGATCGAACTGTCAGCACTCAGCAAGCGAACTGTTATTTCATCAGTTATTGAATGCCCCGAGACCCCTAATCCGCTATGGATTCCTTAAGGTTCATTTTCTCGTATCGTTTACCGACCGTTTCACCCGTATGGACAAACAGAGAAAGCTCATACTGCGCGCAGAACGGCCCTGTGGGACAGGCACTCCCGTCACTGCGGGCTTGGCTCGATGCCAGCGCCACAACAGGCTGGCGGCCTGATCCTATTTCCTAGCGCTAGCTGAGCCCACGCTGAGCCAACGGGCCCAGGCTCCGCCCCCAGCTGGTGAGCGCCAGTGACTGCTGCCTGGGCCCTGACGGCCCTGAGCTCGTGACGCGCATGCGCAGTAGGGACACGTGTGACCAAGTGAAACACTACGGCGGGCGCTGGACGGCGGTGGGGATGTGCTCCACGCTGTTTCTGTGTTATTTGTGGTGTGTACGCGACGAAGAAACTGGAGCATTTAGCAGGTATTGTGGCATTTCTCTCATAAACTTGTCGTTATTGTTTTTCAGCGTCCTACAGCAGTGTTTTGATAACGCTGGGCTGGGGCCTAGGGGCTAGGGCGGCCTCTGGTGGCCGGACGCCATTGCTGCGTCAGGCGCTGGCGGGGCCGAGGGGCCCAAGCGTCGGGGCCCTGGCTAGCGGGGTGACGCAACGCCGGCCTTTAACGTCGTTGATACGTCAACGGACCCTGGCGCTGGCGCTTGGCTAGCGCTGTACTACACCTTTTTGCACTCAAAATAGGCATCTTTTCATTCAATTTCGGCGAATTGCATTCAATTTTAGCGATCTCTCTATTCGAAGCAAATGAGAGATCGCTAAAATTGAATGCAATTCGCCGAAATTGAATGAAAAGATGCCTATTTTGAGTGCAAAAAGGTGTATAATGTGCTGCGCTGTAATAATCTTAGTTTCAACAATAACAAGAAAGACGTTTATTACAAATTGTATTGTAGGTGCACAATTAACATCGAACGTTCGCCCGTTCTTCCTGCACTTTGGGGGGGGGGGGGAAGGAATGATTTGATATAATTGCACTTAGGTATGTTTGGCATTTATTCATTTAGGTATTAGGCATACATATTAGGTTGGCAGTGAGCGCTGTCCTTTAAAATCTGAACTTTCCCCCATTTCTCTGCATGAATTGTGGCGAGCATCATAAAAATACGTTTATTTTTCACATTTTATACATTTTTGAGACCAAGTCATGCAGACAGACATAAACTAAATTCCGGAGACGGCGAGCCGCCACGAATCCGGTACGTCTACTCGAGCCGCCAACTAAATCCATCGAGGAAGCTTGCTGCCAACTAAACCCAAGAAACTAGAAAGAGCCTGTTTCAATGGGCAAACGTTGGGCTAGATACTATCTAGTATCTATCTATTAGGCAGCTAGTTATTAGATAGCTGGCTCTCCAGCAGGCTGCCAGCTAAATACCCGGCACTCGTCGGGCTGGGGCCATGCATGGGACCGACTGTGGGGACGAGAGATTGCCTTGGGACCGGCTGGCTGGACCGCCAATGTAGGCCCGGCGGTATTGCTTTGGAGTCGGGAGCCCGCGCCTCGCTGCAGCGGAGCGGTAACCCCAGGAGTCAGGACCCCCAGCGCGCTGGGGGTCCTGGATTTTCACGCCCTGCTGAGGGGTGTTTGAACACCCCCCCCTTAACTAACTCGACTCCTGGGCCACGTAGCGGTATAATACGGGGAAGGCGGCTTTTGAAAGAGCGTCAAAAGTAATGAATTTACTTTGATTACTTTATAGTCACTAGTCAGGTCACCAGAGGTCATTGAAGGCCAAATTTCGCCGATTTCTAGGTCAAATGTCAACAACTTTTAACAAGCCGACGCATAATTCTGAAACTAATAGAGCTACAGCGCCGCGGGAAAGAGCATTTGATAGTCCTTTTAACGCTCTTTCTGATTGCCTCTCTCAGATTTGACCTAACGTCAACGCCAGCGGTTTTGCTTGCAGGGGGCAAACACTGCCAAAATAGGCGATGTTTGCGATAACAGTTTTTCTGCAATAACTTTTGACTCAAACCATGCACAAGCTTACTTTTACTGACATCGTGTTCCCCTCGTGAAGACGCATCGAATTAACTATAATTTGACCTTAAAAGGTCAATTTGAAATTTAACCTCAGGTCAAGGTCATGACCTGACCGGAAAGGGTCATCTGCACATCAGTCGATCTGTATCGTCGAGCTGATCCCATCTAACGAAACGATTATCGATTATCGAAGTCGTTATCGATGATGATAACGTTTTTTGAAGTTTATCGTTTTTGATCATCGTTATCGAAGTAACGTTATCGAAATCCCCGTTTCGGTCAATCGATAACGATAACTTCATCAAATGCGACGCGAGCGCATTAAAGGGAAAGTTCACCTTCAACATAGGGTTTTGAACTGAGATAGCAGTTTGAGTTTTGTAGATTGAGAACTGAAAGATGCTGTTTGGAACGCCTTGCGGCCCAACAAGGTCTGTCGCCAAAGATATTCAAGTTTTTCGACGAATGTTTTCCTTATTTAAGGAATATGTAAGGAATTACATATTATTTAGTTAGAAGCTTATTACTTTCAAATATTTTATCCTTTCGATTTCTTTTTTTAGGTTATCGCTATCGTTATCACGTTATCGAAGTGACCGATTTGGTTTTCAAGTTATTGATATCGAAGTCACCGACCTCGAAAAAGGTTATCGAATTATCGTTATCGAAGTCGCGATCAAGTTACGAGTGCTCACCACTGCTAATGAGCGTCCAACTCCAATGCACATTGCAAATGCGAGGATCTTTATGACTTGATCACAATGGTGCTCGCTCGTTTGTCGCCCTAAAAGTCGTTTTACTGATATAATATTTCTCTTTTAGGGAATGAATTCTCAAGTGAACGTGGTTAAGGCTGAGCCCATTGTAACAGGTAAGTCAACTGATTTTTATTGTTACTTTGGTTTGGGGAATCGGTAGATTTTCCACATACCTATTTATCCTTATCCCTCGACCATATCGGCATTTTCACAGCGGTTAACACGTATGGGGTGAGGGAGAGGGGGTCGATCGGACTCTTTTGTTTTGCTGGAAAAATGAGTGTTTGCCTGTGAAGATAGATAGCCGATTGTACCCAGTTTTAACCCGGCAGGCGGTGGGCCTCCCGGCCACCTTCCGCGTGGTGGTGGTGGTGGTGGTGGTGGTGGTGGTGGTGGTGGGGGGGGGGGGCATTCCCCCCGATCTCCGAACCTACTGTACATACAGATCCGTAAAATTCAAACGGCGTTCCATAGCCCTGTCACATTTGTCGGGGAAACCAAATTTCATTAACCTCGAGGTCACCGATGACGTCACAGGTCAGGTCAAAGATAAAATGTTTCACCGTTCACGGATCTTCTAGGAAATGCACTATAAAACCGAGTAAAACGCATTTTGTCGAAAGTCAGTGTTAGGGCGTCAGTTGCCTAGTGCATATGATGCTATTAAAGGTCACTGATAATACCAGCTCAGGTCACAGGTCAGGTCACCAAAGGTCAGCACATGAACCTAACTTTACTAAGATTTGCGATGCATGTTTTATGGCCAATTTTTCATTTCCAACTCAATGGTGTTGGTTATAAGACCATCAGGTACGGTTTAGGTCACTTTCTGGTGGAGGTCAGGTCAAAAAAGGTCAAATTTCAAAGTTGATAGTTTTGCATAGTTTTGTAGCCCTCCTAATTCTTCACCTTTTATCTCTGAATTTTTTTTTCTTCTGTATCTCTTAAACTGTAGGCCTGACAGCTCTTCCCGCGCAACCTTTTTTGGGTCGAAAATGGCAGAAATGACGTCAGTCCGATGTCATTAGCGGCCAACCTATCATAGCCTTTGGAAAATTTCTAGTCACAGTGTGCAATAGCTATTCACGGGAGGGTACTGAAATTTTGGTGACGATCGGCGCAGCGGTTCGGGAGATATATAGAAAAAACTAAAGGGGAGGGCTAAAAAATCCCCCCCCCCCACCGCCTGGAAGGTTGTCCAAGGACATTGGCTGACATTCCAGATTAAAATTTTCGGGGAAATCGATGCCTGTTCAAACTACTTGAAGGGAGTTTCATGGGGTACCATAGGGGAGAGCGGGGCACTTTCGTGCATGGGACACATTCGTTTTCAGCAGTTTATGGGAATACGAGTGACTGCCCGAGCTCAAGGTAACTTATGAAAATATGTCATCATTGCCGCCCCTCGTTCACTGTAGAAAACAACACTGTACCTGCTATCATGCTTGATAAAAACGCAAAGTCGTATTATTCGTGCGCTTTCCACTTTTTTCATAGCATCCATTTTCGTGATCCTGACTCTGAAATGTGGTTCAGCCTTTTTTTTAAATTAGCGACGAAGAAGCTCAGTCTATTCACGGAACTGCTGCGAACTTGTTTGTTGCGAAAGTGTCATTTTTTCAACAAGAAATTTTGAAATATATCACAAATAACTTTGTGAGGCAGGTTCGTGCATGCACTGCCTAGGGGCACATTCGTGCATATTTTTCTCGTTTTTGCGATTTATGACTATCTGTAGAAGGTTTCACTTATGACGCTCGCGTGACTCAGCCTCGGCTGCTTGCGACGTCGTGACAAGTAATTCACGCGACCTCGGCGAGGTCACGGAGGCGGGTCGATGGCCGGCAGTTGGCACATTCCTGTAAGCCAGCCCTTTCTTTCTACATTTGTTGTTCCTGTCGATAGGAATCGAGTGAAATGGCCCCCTGCCAATTTCTTTTGGTAAATTTCTGGTAAATGCCCGGTAATTCCTCGAACTTTGCAGGGTGCACGGAAGTGCCCCATCCCTTGCACGAAAGTGCCCCATACCTGGGGCAGTTTCGTGCAAACGTTCAGAGTTATTCAAAGTCATTTTTTTTTTCTAATAGAAGCGATAATTTTAGAGGATAATTTTAAAGGGGAAAAATGTCTGCAATAGTTCCTTTCCATACTACAATCAACAATTTTTATACCATTGCACCAACCAAAGAACAGATATATGGATTTATCCTTTTTTTTGCACGAATGTGCCCCACTCTTCCCTACTTGATTTTGAATTTCACGTTACTTTTATGATGCACCTATTTGTGCATTTGGGTTGGGCCGGGTCAGGTCAGGTTAAACCGTCAGCCATCCCACAGATTGTTCTTGAAGTAGGCATTTACCACCATGCTGATGCCTCCATCACATGTTATGTTGACCTTTAAAGTAGTTTCCAAATGCTCAATTCAGTACTAAATTTGAAATCATCTCCGAACACTGCTCTGAAAATTGCATAGCTACCTAACTCAAAAAGAACCGAATCCATCCAAGGCTGATCCAAGGTCTCCTAACTTGCATTGACCTTCGCGTGGCCTTATTACCCACCATGATCCATGAGACAAACTTACGTTCACATGTTGGTACCTACTTTTGTTTTCACAATAAGTCTGAAAAAGTACCTATAGGTGTAATGTGTGCTGGCATGGTCTCGAGAAAGAGGTCACATCTCAAAGGTCATTTGGGTCAGGGTTATGAAATTTTCGGGGGAGGTATGCGTGAAATAAGTCGAGGTTAGGGAAAGTTTTGTTGCTACCCGTCGCTTTTCACGCGAGTTATTTTATTCGTGAAAAACGAGACTGGTCGACACCCTCAATAATGCGTGGGACCAACATCAAATCACATGTTTGAACGCTTGAAACCACAAAAAGGCTGCAAACACGCGGCTAATGCGTGCCGACATACGCCGAATCGCGATTCCGGCCAAACGGTTTCGAGAAATAAGTCACAGGTCAAAGGTCATTTGGGTCGGGGAGAAGTCTATGGTCAGGGTTATGACATTTTCAGGGGAGGTGTGAAATTGATCAACTCGAGGGTACTGAAAGTTTCGTCGCGATCGGCCGCTTTTTACGCAAGTTATTCGCGAAAAACCGAGGGGGGGTTCGTTCGACCTCCCCCCTATGCGGGTGAGGGCTAGGTTTATGGGTGCCCTATCAAATTTTTAATTTCATTGGATACCGTATCTGAACAATCTTATTGCCCCCCCCCCCCCATGCTCCTGTCCTGAACATATTTTCTCTCATTTTTTTTTGGGGGGGGGGGAGGGCGTCAGGAGGGTTGCAGGTGGGCCCCTTGGGCGGAGGGTGACGCTGGACGGACGCGAGCTGGGGGGAGGCCGGCTGAAGCGAGTGGTACGGCGGGTGGTGCCGGCTGCGGGCGGCCCGCAGCCGCCACTGAGGCGGTCCGCCGGGCTCCAGACGGACCGACCGATCCAGACAGGCCGGCCGGACCGACCACGTCGGGCGGGTGTCGGGCGGGCCGGTGTCGGGCCGCCAGTGGGCGCTGCGGGCCGGCGATGCGGGCCAACGTCGGGTGGTGCTGAAGTTGCCAGCTGGTGACAAATGAGTACGGGCGGGTGCTGGGCGGGCGCTGGGCGGGTACGGACCGGCCTCACGCGATATAAAGCTGGCTACGACCGGACAGCAGGCGGTCAGCGTACAGAGGGCGGACACAGCGCAGCGGGCCAATAGCGGTCAGCTGGCGAACCAAACGGTCGATGGGCGGACGATCGGACCGGCCTCGGACGGCCGTCGGGCGGGCGGCTGTCTTGGCGCCGGTCCAAGCTGGCTTCCCGGACAGCGGACTGAGGGCGGACAGCAACCAGCGCGTGCGGGCTGCGGACATTGGGCGACGGCTGATGGGCAGCAGGACAGCTGGCGAGTCATACGGTCGATGAACGGGCGCTGGGCGGGTAGGAGGCGGACGGCTGGTATGGCTAGCCTGGCGCCGCGCCGGTCCAATCTGGTTACGGCCAGACAGCCGGCTATGTGCGGGTACCCAATGGGCCTGGCGGCGGACGGCAGCCCGGGCGGGTAGCGGACTATTAGTAAAGTAATCTTGTAGCGGACATCTCACTGTCTAGCCATACGGTTCGTCGATTGGGCGGGGTTGGGATACAGCCTGCGCCCTGCAGAGGTGGCGCACATTGTGGGAAGCTGGGCAGAAACAGCCTTGGGAACTGGTGTACCTATAGTTCGTTTTTTTTTTTCAAAAGGACGCTGGCTCCAAGTATGTTTTTCGAACAAGCACGTGTTTTAGCGAGCAAAACGAGCAAAAACTGAACCTGAGAAAATCGAACGTCGACTAATTTTAACATGTGATTTCTTCCCGATAATTTCCATATGTGCGTTTTGGAACCATATATGAGAACAGTGGTGACGTCATACTGTCGGAACATGTATTTCAATGTAACTTATAACTATCATGGACGGAACTGCTTACTCGATTATAAGCTCGGCAACAGTGAAAAACTAAGTTTCACCCAAATTCGTTGACACTTGTCCCATTGCACGGACATTTGGGTGCCTGCTGCCACCAGTGACGTCATCATAGTATGTTCATTTTTAAGAAACAATTTCCAGCTACTTACCGTGCACAATTTGAAATCGGTTATTTTTTCGGTAAGAAATTCTTCGCCAGACACTGAAGCTGCCAAAACTCACGTGAGAGCTTCGATATTGAACTTTGAGCCAGCGTCCTTTTGAAAAAAAAAACGAACTATAGCTGCAGTATCGCCCACTAACCCGACGCTATTTTTAGCTGTGTTATTTTTGTTGGCTCCGATTTCCTGCTCAGCGCTCACATGTTTAGTCCCTTTAAATTGAACATGTTGTGGCATCGCCCCTGAGAGTGTGAAACTTGGCAAATTGTTTACGTTACGCAGAACCTACACGTGAATCCTTCTTTGCTTGGTAGGTAGTTTTGTGCAAATTCGTTCCATTGTAGCATGAATTTAATTCAGCACTATGAAAATAGCCATATTGCAATTAATTAGAGCTTCTGGATGTGTTCTGCTTTACGCGAATAGGTCAAAATAGAATAGTTATACTAGCTACCTATGGCACCAGTCTGCAATATGAACAAAAATCTGAATGACTAAAGGAGAAGCGATCCCACCTTACCCAGGATAAGCGTGCCAGTAAAGTCATCGTTGCACTCACAATCCATATGGCTCAGTGCCTCGTTCTTGGCAGACCTATTTCATGACATTTTCGGCTTTCGGCATGAGAAAACAGGGGCCCGGGAACGATTTTCAAGTTGGGGGGGCGAGCCTAAAATACTTGACATGATGCATATGAAACAGTAGCGTAGCTAGGGGTCTAAGGGGACACGTACCCCCCCCCCCCATCGGGTTCAAAGGGACCCTCGGGTCCGAAGGGCCCTGTGGCACGGCGCCATTTGACCGCTGGTGGTTAACGATGGCCATATTTCTACCATGGATGAAGTATTCCTAATAATACCTAATCCATGTTTCTACTCAGAAGGGCCCCATGGGGCTCGTTAAAGCACCTCATGAACCCTAAATAGCCACACTAAGATCTCCATAAGGGCCCCACGCTGGTTTCTGAGGGCCGCTTGCGGCTTTTAAGGGCACCTCGGTGGTCTCCAAAGGCCCGTTACTGGCCTCTGAGAGGTCTTACCGGCATGAGGGGCCAGTCTAGGGGCATTTCCCGCCTGTTATGGTCCCACACTTATTTTTCTGAGAGCCCCATAACGGCAACTGTGGGGCCTTCGTCGGCGCCTATGAGGGGCGAGGGCCCACGGTCACATCGGTGTCTCTGAGGGTTTCACATCCCCAACTCTGAGTGCCTACACCACTGCCTAAAAAAAGCCCTATATCGGCGGCTCCGAGGACCCAACCAACACCTGCGCATCTAAAGGCCATCCACTGGTGACTTTTGAGGGACCCACACCGGTGACTGAGGGCCCCACATGAGGGCCCCACCATGCCGGTCTCTAAGGACCCCACAGGACTTATTCTGCCGGCCTAAGGACCCCTTGCCGGTCACTGAGACCCCTTGCCGGCTTGTAGAGAGTTCGCGTCAGCAGCTCTAAAGGCCCCACACCCGTCTGTAACGGCTCCACACCAGCGTCTATGACGGCCCACAGCAACGCCTGTAAGGACCCTCATCGGCGCCTCTGAGAGAATCACACTGGCACCTCTGAGCGCCCACACCGGCACCTGCATGACGGCCCCACACCAGTACCTCTAAAGGCCCCTTACCGGCGATTCTGAGGGCCCTACGTTGGTGATTTTAAGGGTGCTACCGATAACCGAAGGCACCACGCAAGCCCTTAGTGTCGGTGTCGCTGAGCTGTAATCCCATACGGGCCCTCCGAGGGCGCCACGTCAGTGCACTCGTTGCCCCACACCCCTCCCTCACACCCGGAGCGGGTAAACTGTGTTATACCTATAGCAACGATTTTACCACCGTTGTACGTTATGTATTTTTCAAAGTTGACTCAAAATGGTCCAGTATAAAAGCTGGCCTGCCAAACTTATGGCCAAGGTCAGGCACAAATCAAAGCGGGATGACAATAGCAGATGTTGTCAAATCAATGCTGTATCAGCAGAAACCATTCAGATGGCAAGGAAAATGCCGCGTGCTGATGTTTAGATGTAGGAAACAAGACGGAAAGAAGTCCGGAAAAGGGAGGAAAGATCTTTTCTCGCTGCCTCAATGTTGAGGGGGCGCCGCCCCCTCGGCTCCCAAGTTGGGGGGGGGGGGCAAGCGCCCCCGCTGCCCCCCCTGTTCCCGGGTCTATGTGAGAAAATTATGAACCCGAAGGCCGAGTTATGGGACCGTCACCGTTTAATCACCCTGAAACTTTGTTGTTTTCAGATGGGTGGCTGAGAGGCCGGCGCCGCGAACTCCGCTGATGCTTAGGTGATTTGCTGCCCTGGCGTAACACGGAGTGTGCAGTGTCCTTTGAGTTTTGGCCGATATTGCTTGCTTGGGGAAGGAATCATCTTGGCCGCGACGATGGTCTCAAAATGCTTGTGTTTCGTTCTGTTCTGCTGGCGCGTTAGGTTGTGTGTAGTGCTCAGCGGCGAGCTGTTTTGCGTTGTCAGCTGCCAACTTTTTGTAGTAATATCTAGGTGCTTTTGGTTGCTTTGATTTCGGGTTGAATCGCACGGACGGTTTCAGTATATTCACTGATGATTTATTTTTGCGCACTATCAACCGTTTTAAGGGTCTTTGTTCCTAGTTGGTGTAAAATTGTTCCTTTTTTAGGCTCGAGCGGAGGGCTTATTTAGCTGGTATAAAATGGCAACGCCTTGTGCATCCTCTGACAAGGTGTGCCTTGTCATATTTTCCATTTATCGTGGTGATTCGCGAGCGATCGCTGAGTTTGCTTGCCAAGCACTCTTTGCACGAAGTCTTGATTGTCGATATCCCTGACCTGAAACTTCACCCAATCAGACCCAATAGGCCAAACAATCGCACTTTTGGCTTGGTTCACCGCTTCTGATCCGCAAACAGCATGCTTTATTTGTCTTCCCCTCCGAGTGCCTTTTGGGAACTATTAATACCTACTGGAACCGGGGAATGCTTACTGGGACTGACTGTGAATCGCACAGGGGACTAGTATGTCTGGCCTGGAGGCTAGATGCCTTCAGTGGTTCATTCTCACAGGGCCTGCAATTTACTAGAATGATAGGCAAGCTGAGTGCGCTATTTCTCAGAGATGATGCTGCCGTAACTCCTTCGGCGCTACCGGCGCTGAGTTTATATCATGAGATATTGTTTGTTGTAGAACTGTTGCCGAACTGTATGGCCTTTTGGGTAAAAAGCCCAACGTCGTACCGCCTGGCTTTTGGGACGCTGAATCCACTGCCGTTCTCTCGGAACGGCGGTGGCTTCCCGGCGGTGTCTGGAGGATACCAATTACCAGGCAGCGTGGATCAGGTGCTGGGATCAATAGACAGTCTGTGGATCACCGGACTGCGATCAGGACGCCCCCTGTCGCCGGTGGACGTCCGGGGGTCGATGGTGCCGCAACTCTTGGCGCTTTCGACCCGGGCGACCGACCAACTTTCCCCAGCCGTATTAGGGGAAGGCAAACTTTCGCCCCGCAGACTGATGGCGTCTCCCATCTTGGTGGACGCTTCTGATGGCTTTCTTGGGGACATCTCACTGGGATGGGCGCCGATGACCACTGTGGTCCGGGCGCCCAAAAACCCCAATTCATCATCATCATCTTACTGGGAGATTGCAATATAGCTTATTTTTACAAAGACTGACATTATTTGCCGTGACAACCCGCCGTCATTGGCGTACGATATAAAAAAGGGTTGCGCTTGCCTAATTTTTTTTCCAACAAGGCACGTTATCCTGCCAGATCCCAAGTGAAAAGCGACCCTGGTTTCCACTCCCTGCTGGCTTGAAGTCGGTATTTCTTTTACCGGGGCTTATCCCCTTATTCTTGCCGACTTTATCCTCGAGTTTTGAGATGAATTGGTTGCTGACCGGACACAGCGCTTGGGGCTGAGCTAAATTCGTTTACCTGTTTAGCGGGGTAAAGTGTGGCATTCATTCTCAGTTAACGCGGGATCATTAGCTGTTAAAGTAACAAACATAAGTAAGTGGTTCTTCCCATTTTCAAGTTGCCAACTTACCAAGCTTCCCATTCTCAACCCGCCTAGCTGCCCAGCTGGAGTGTGTAACCGTTGCTGATGCCCCCGTCTCTCTCCTTTCAGAGGTGCCTCCTGTGCTGCCCGAGGCTGTGACAGTCGCCTTCTTCGCCGAGTGCAACGTCTGCCACGAGAGGTTCGCTCTTCAGGAGGACCATGTGCTGCACATGACCTGCCACCAGGAGTCGCACCCTGCCGCCTGTCGCCGTTGTCCCAGCCAGTTCGCCACGCCACAGGAGCTCTCGGAGCACATCAAGCAACAGCACGTGACTGTTCAGAGACGACGCAAGCCCGGCCCCGCCAAGGTACGCCCCTGCGAAAAATGTGTTGGTTTGAATGCGAACGATTTATTCGGATCGTAAGCTCAGAAGGTACCTATTGGGATTATTGAACGGAATGATAAAATCTAAAACGGCGGCATTATATGGTTGATTTCTTAGAAAGTGAAACCGTAAATGAAATAACGATTGGGCCAAGCGTTTCATAAAACTCAGTGTATTTTCAAACTTTGCTCATGCAACACCCTTCTCCCATCAAAAGCACCCACCTCGCCCCCAGCTACGCTATTTACAATCTACACAGACGCAGGGCGGATACACGGACCACGTGTACCGCGCTGCCCCTCCCGCGTGGTAGTAGCGGCGCCCTCCCCAGTGGGACGGGTCGCATTTCATCACTCAGCCCAGCGCGGCGCCATAACAGCCCTCCCGCTCCCCCACAGCGTCCCCCCCCCCTCCCTCCGTCTACCCAGCGGCGTGCCGTAACGACGCCCTTCACTGCCTCCGCTGCTCTCTCCTTCCCCCTCGCTCTCTCCAGCTCTCCCAACGTGACAGAACGGCAACTCGACTCCGCGCTCTCCCAAGCTCTACCTCTCCCCACCCCGGCCGTTGCCCACTCCCGATGGGACAGGGTCGTATTATCCTTATCAGCCCACGGCGGCGCAATAACAGCCCTCCCCTCAGTCCCATCCCCTCAGTCCCCACGACGTCATAACAAGCCCATTCGACGCCGACGCTGCTCTCTCTCTCTCTCTCTCTCTCTCTCTCTCTCTCTCTCTCTCTCTCTCTCTCTCTCTCTCTCTCTCTCTCTCTCTCTCTCTCTCTCTCTCTCGCTCTCTCTCTCTCTCTCGCTCTCTCGCTCGCTCGCTCGCTACCTCCCGCAGCGTGACAAAGGTCACGGCTCTACCCTAGCTCTCCCCTCTAACCATCGCTGCCATACAGTGACTCTCCCCCCACCATTACTCAGACCCTTCCCCTCCCCACATCGACCCATTCCCCATCCCGACCCCAGTCATATCACACCCAGACCATTCGTCCCCTTCCCGTCCCCAATATTCCCCGCAACCGCCTACCCATCCCCTACCCCCACGCCTGCTGGACGCACCGCACACACCGCACGCAGCAGTGTGCGGTGCCCGTGAACACCCCTCCGGCTTTTTCTCCCCCGTCGGATTACCCGAAGTCCCCATGTGGCGCTGACCGACCAGGCATCCCAATCACCGCTGCCAGTGGGTACCCTGCTGAGCCCCTGCCAGTAGGGAGGGTCTGTTTTCACCCCTCCCTCCCTCCCATGGGGAATTGAGAGGGGCCGGCCGGGCGCCCCAACTGGCGCCCCAGCTGTTGCTACGTCAGTCTCAGTTGGCGGCCTGGTGCTTGTCCCTCGCCCCGACCCTCCTTCGGTTGAATTTTTGTCAGAGGGGACATGAACAAAGGAAGTGCCCTTCCAGCACACACTCGACCATACAGACTCTTCCACGTTGATGGGTGCATAAGTAGCCTTGAGCGCACAATGGCCTCGCTGCTACCGCTCCCTAAACCCCAACTAACAAAACCCTCCAACGTTCTAACAAACCCCTCTAATGTTACGTATACCCTCCGGCAGGTTGACAGAGTTCTTCGCTGCGTCATCTGTGGGATCGACAGCTTCCCCAACTTCTCCTACTTCCACGACCACCACTTGTACCACCACCTGGTGACGCGGCCGGAGCCGACGGTCACCCTGGAGCGCTCGGAGCCCGCCGCTGCCGCCGCCGCCGCCGCGGCCGCGCTCAAGCTCACGCTCCGGCGCAGCAGTCAGGAGCAGAACGGTGGAAGTCAGTTTGAGGTGGGTGAGAGAAGAGATATAATACCCATATCTCTATGGGTGAGGGGGCGAGCATGGGGACTGTGTGCGGCGACTGGCGGTGTGTATGGCTTGTTGGATGGATGTATGGCTTGGTGGGTGGAATTGGTGGATGGGTGTATGTCCGGCTACATGGCTGCGTGTATGTCGTATGACTCGGTATGTCTGGCTGGCTGGATCTGGTCAGGTATGATTAACTGGCTAGTGGCTAGTCCGGGATGAATGCAGTGATGCACGTTGTCTGGGTGACTGGCAGGATGGTCGACTGTATCTGGTTACAATATGCCCGACGGAATGGATGGCTGATATTTGATACGCTGGGTGTAACACGCTGGTTGATTGGGTGGTAGCGAAGTAGCTGAATGCTGACATGGTCGCTGGCTGGGTTATGTTGACTGCATAGCTATGTGCATCGACTTCCCACTGTAGATTGGACGGCTGATTTTATGACTATTGGGTGACTGGCTGCATGGCTTATTGGGTAGCTGAGCTGGATATATGGCTGACAGGGTAGCTGTTCGGTAGATTGGCCGCTGGGGCTGGCCCAGCCGGGTCAATACGTCGCCTGTATGCTGAAAGGATCGACCGCGGGCGGCTTGGAGACCAGACAGGCTGCAGGATGGAGCATCCTCCGACTGGGAGTAGAATTTAACGTCGTATGGAAGCAGCTTATCAGTTTCTCCGCCACCACCCAGCTTCCGTAAAAGATTCGTGTTATAATAGCACTCGTTGCCGGTAAAGCCAGTACATATATTTGCAGCTGCCGAAAGGGCAAACCTGCTGTAGTGTTAGTGCACTGCACCAGTACATTGTTATTGCACTGCAGTTGCAGTACAGTGTTCGCTGAGTGGTACGACTCGATAAGATCGGCTGTACTATCTGATAGTTATGTTATCCTTATGTTTTATCCTTATGTTTTTATGTTCCTTATGTTTTTGTCCTCCTGTACTTGGTAACGACGTTGCCGTTTTCCTGTAGCACCCACACAGCAATTATAGCATAGATAAGCCAAGATTACCTGTATGGTTACCTCGCTACATACTGTTATCTAAACCATCTACCTGAACAAATCACAACCCTTTGTTCCAAGTGTTAGGGAGTAGGGACCATACATAGGAGGGTAACAGTCTGTCGATGATTCGGCATCAGCGTCTTTAGCATCTCATCAGATGACCTCGGTCTCGATTCGCGCAAGCCGCTCTGAAGCTGCCCGCCTGCAGTTCCAGGCAGGGTTACTAAAGGTCAGCCAAAGGGCAGCGGGCACATAACGACCCTTTACGGCGCTCCAGGATTGGACGGCCGAACCACGGCAGTATGGCGGTCGAAGAATAGATTGGTGGATTGATTGATCTAAGGATTGATCTATCATGCTTGGGCTGTGTCGGTACTGAAAGAGGCGGGCTATAATGGCACGATATCGGAGTCCTATTGTCACGAAGATCCAATCATATCCTCTGAGAAGGGCTATTCTATGATTTTCGTCATACAATGGAGAATCGGAGCAAAAGCTCCAGTTCGCACCATTAAAAGAACAGCACATTAAAACATCACTGAAACACAGAATTAAAAACACTTGGGTAAAATCGCAGGTAAAAACAAATAGTACCTACATGCTGGTGATCTAACACGATAACGAGTTGGCTGTAGCTCGCACTAGCGCCGGGACATGGACTCACGTTTGAGCACTGCTTTCAGCCGTCGCGCCGTCAGATCCTGGCGATTTTTAGCTAGAGTCCTAGAGTCCTAGAGGGCATGCAACGGATGGTACTGGCATGGAGACGGATTAAGTACCTACGGAAGACTGGACTAAGTACGGACTACGGAATGAGACTGGAATGTCTGACTAATGTCTGCCCCCCCCCCCCCCCCGATGATCTCATGTCCCTCCGATGATCTGTCATCCCTATCACTGTGTGACCCACTGTCTCTCTGCTCCTCAGGTGATCCCATCGGACGGCTGCTCCTCTGCCGGCTCCGACTCCGGTATGGACGCCTCCGAGCCGGCCTCACTCTCGGGCGCGCCGCTAGAGGCGCCACCGTCGCCGGCTGAGCGGCTCCCGTCCGACGAGGGCCTGGCGCCCGGCGAGGATGACTCGCGCTGGTCGGCCGGAGAGATGGGTGTCGCCGACGAAGACTCGCTCTCGCAGGGACCCACCGATGCCCTGCACGTGGACGCGGCCGCCGGCGACGATGACGCCCTGGCGGAGGATGGCGAGGCGGTGGACCCGCTGGATGATCATTACGGAGACGAGGGTGAACCCGACGAGCCGGGCGCGATAGATCCGGACTTTGACACGATGCACACGCGACTGTCGGACGGCTCGGGCTCGGGATCGGCCGAGGGAGACGAGGAGACGGTCGACAACGGGCTGAGCAGCGACACGGAGCGGCCGGGCGGTTCGTCGGCCGGGGATGGAACACAGGCAGAGGAAGGAGTGATCGCTGACGTGCTGCCCGAGGGCGAGGAACAGGATGACGTGCTCCGCCTGCTGGACTCTCTGAACCGTGAGGGCGCGCGCAGCGCCTCCACGCCGCCGCCGCCGCGGCTGCTGCCGGTCGGCTCTCCGGCGATGCCACAGAGGATGACCGCCTCGGCGCCGCCGGCGGACATCGAGGCCGGCAGTCCGGCGCCGCCGCGCTCGGTGGCGTCGGACCCGGGTGGGACAGGAGACACCGACGGCCCGGCGCCCACCCTGCAGGACCTGGCTCCTCAGGCGGCCGACGGGGAGTCTGCACCACCCGCGGAGGGCGCCGACGGTCAGCCGGCGGGCGACCAGGCGGAGGGCGGCTCCGGTCAGCCGCTCATCCGGATGGCAGCCATCGCGGCGAACATCCCCGACGAGCGCAGCTTCCGACACGAGCCGCCGGCGACGCCGCAGCCACCGCAGCTGCAGCCGCGTCCAGACGGCGCGCGACTGCCGGCGCCGGCCGTCAGTGGCGCTGCCGGTCTGCCGCCTCTGACGCAGGGTGTTCGGCCGCCGGCGCCGCCCGGCTCCGTGTCATGCTTCGTGTGCCAGCTGCCGCTGCCGAACGTGGCCGCGCTCCAGGAGCACCTGCTCACCCACCAGGACCAGCTTCAGTGCAGCATGTGCCCCTTTAAGGCCTCATCCATCAACGACCTGAAGGCGCACAGTGTCACTTTTCACGGCAAGATGCAGGCGGGTGCCGTGGGCCGGCCTCCCAACAGTAATATGTCCAGTCATATGGCGGCGATGCAGAGCCCCATGACGGGCGTGGGACGACCACCGATGCCCGTGCCGCCCGGCACGCGATTCCCGCACATCCGTCGCGGTCGGCCACCGCTCGACGCAACACGCATCGCACAAATGCAGCACATGAACGGCTTGCGCGGTCGGGGTATGATGGGCCCGCGAGGGATGCAGCCGGGCCGTATGCCGGGGATCAGCCCGCAGAAGCGGCCGGCGCCGGGCATGATGGCGCAGGACCCGAAGCGCCGACCCGGCATCCCGATCCAGCCTGACAAGTCCGACTGTCAGGTGATCGCGGTGCAGCGGCGACAGCAGGGCGTGCCGGTGATACAGAACGTGGAGGGCAGTGCGCACGGCGGCAACCAGGGCACAATCCGACTGAGCGACTCAATCACGTTGAGCGTGCAGCAGCCGGCCCCGGCGGCCACTAGCGCCGCGGCCGCGCCCAACGCCGACGTGGCCTCCATCCTCGCCAACCGCGGAATCTCCATCACCCCGGCGGCCTCGGCTCCGGCGCCGCCGGCCGCCCAGCCACCCATCTCGCTACCCAACCTGCCGGCCGGCATCTCCCTGACCCCCGCCTCGAGCGCTAATGATAACTTTGCCGTGCCGCGGCCGCCGGGTGTGCAACAGACTAACGTGTCTCGACCGGCGCGGCCGCCCACCGTCGACCTCACCGTGGACACGCCGTCACCGCCGGCGCGCGGCTCTCTAACCTGCCGCTACTGTGAGCGAACCATGCCTAGCATGGCGGCGTTGGTACAGCACGAGAAGGCCCACCTGTCGGGACCCAACCAGAGCCTGCGCTGCCGCGTCTGTGGCATTGTGATGCAGAACTTGGCGCTGCTGCAGCAGCACATGCAGTCACGGCACGGCTCGACGCTGCCGCCGACGGCTCCCGGCCGCGGCTCCTCGGAGCTGGTGGTGCCCGTGTTTGACCTTAGCCAGGTCAGTCGCGACCAGCTGGAAGCGCTCGGCGTGCGCGGCTTCCTTCCCGTGTCACAGGTGAACCAGCGCCAGGGCCAGCTCGGTCTGCCTATCATCAGCCTGCAGGGACTCGGCAAGACAGGCCCCAGCCCGCGGCCCGTCGCCTTCTTCAACCTGGGACCGGTGCGGCCACTTCGGTAGTTGCGCTGCTTCCATCGACAGACCCCTCCGCCCACGGCGTGTCGAACACAGGTGGACCTTCTCAGAGGGACGCGAACCCTCGCCCAGCCATGGCCGAAGTGGTCTGAACGGTCTGAACAATAGTGGCGCGATGTGGTGTTTGTTGAAGCATGTAGTGGGCTTCAGAGACGCAGCTTACCTGCGTCTGACAGCGACGCACAGACTCGGGCGATGGGATACAAATGCATCGCCCTGATACAGGGTAGCAAGTTTTAACGTTGGACTTTGTGGCCGCAATGCTGCTCCGCTAAAGCGGCAAATGAGATATTTATGTGTATTGTGTCATGCTAGTGTACCTGTATATATGTCACGATGTCAAGAATGTTCGTTCGTGGGAGTACATCGACAAGTTTCTAATCATTTCATGAACGAGAGATGACTCGTTTTCGTTATCGGAGAGCTTTTATCTTATGCTGCGGCGGTTGTCAGTATTTTTATACCAAATCTGTTCCGTGGACAGTATGTGAGGCCTCCGTTTGATCACTCAGTGTTAGCCTGGCCGTTTACGTTCAAATAAAGCGTTGCTGGTGCAAATGCAATGACGATCGTGCTTTTATCCGCCGGAAGGAGACCCAAATATCATGTACAAATCAAGGAAATCATGTTTACCATAACCGTATGACATACACAATACGCACACATGTCCCCATCCAGAGCTGGGTGCCATGAAGTGCGCTCAGTCTTAGATGCAAACCATCGGTGACATAAATGTCTCGCATGACAATGTGAATCCCACCATAAATTGCAGTTTGCACATTTTCTTCAGATAACGCACTTTCGAGCCAAACCCCCTGCAGTCCGTTCTTACACCAGTGGGTCGATGTGCTAGCACGTACCAACAATTTCAACACAAACATTACGTTCATAGACAAAGCCAGCCATCACTCAACAGTCAGTCCCCTTGCGCCATGCTACCTTGTATCTTTTCCAGGAGGACCTCGATCCTTCCTCTCATGACCGGCTGTCCTTTACTGGTCTTCTTGGAGAGTTTGTGCAGTCGTTCAAACTTCTTTTTCCTGTACTTCTTCAGCGCGACCTCCCTCTCCTTCGCCTGCCTTTCCTCCTCTTCCTTTCGCTGCTTTCTTTCGGCTTCCTTCGCCTCGTATGCCATTTGCGCCCTCTGGTACGCCGTCATCTTCATGCGCTTCTTATTTTCAACAATACTGGAGACAATGAAGTATGAACGAATGAAATTTACGTTGAACTCGGTAGCGACAACATGCTTGGCATTGATAGTAAAAACGCTGCTGAAAACTACTCCGTCATACCTACTGAGCAACAGGAATCTTGGGCAAGCACCTGCTCGATTTGATTGATGCGCAAAGGCTAACACAATCACCGAACTAACGCCAAACACCTTTTAATGGTTGCCCAATATGCCCATGAATCACGCCGTACCGAAACACCGTGATAATGTGGCCAATACTCGACACAAATAGTTATGCAAGGACATCCATCCCTGATAATTGGTGTACTATGTAGTTAGTAGCTGCTTACCTGTGTCTCAGCCGCGACACACCCTCGCTGCCCTCGGCACCAGCTGCATTTTTCTTCTCTTCCTTCTTCAAAATACGATGGTAATGTCGCATGATTCCCTTCTGTTTATCAGTAAATGCACTGCCAACAGGACCTGCAAAATGAAACAAGCCAGAGTCTGAATTCAAATTCATAGGTGCTACCTACTAGCAATCTAGGCAGCCTGAGGCTGAGTCTTGGTGTGAATGGACCTATATACCAATCTCTGCATTGCATTGCCTGGTGGAATCCATAAATTATGACTTTCCCAATGCCATGTCAGGCACAACTGAACAGAAATAAACAGGTCAACTAGAATGCTTAATGGCACCATGCACTCTAAAATACCAGGTCAAGAAACCCTGAAGCCGACCAAAATGGTTGGACCTCTATCTTTCTCAGTCTCTTGTTCTCTCTTCACATCCAGGGGTGGAGAAATATGCCGAGTTGGGGTTGCATGGGCGCAGCAAATCCGCCGCCGCCCTAGAAGTGACCTTGACCTCCGCCATCTGGTTTGGCTCCAAAGCCAAGCCGGCACAGCCAGTGTGGAATTGGGAAGGCTCGTGCGACGTGCTACCCCAACTCGGCACAATTGTCCACCCATTCACATCAGCCATACATACCTTGACCAGCCTTTTTCTTGTAGCCAAACTTTTTGTCCTTGAAATTTCCAGCTGAAGTATGATGCTGAGATCTTGGATGAGACCGTTGTCCAGCATTAGCATGCTTGAAAGCTGCTTTATTATTATTATTGTTTTTATGCTTCATGACAAACTCCAAATCTAGCTCAGGTAACAGGAAACTGCAATGATGTCACCGGCCGCTATTAAGTAATCAACAACGATGACTGGTTGCACTGCAATCAATCACAAAACAGTTAAAATGAAAATCACATGCCACTACTACGAAATCTGTGAGGGCTTTCACAACAAATCGCCTTGTTCGCTGTTCATTTTACAGTTAATGATAAAAGTGAAGCAGAGTTTTATCTCAACTTACCATAGCAACTTGCTGTCAGCCAGTCAAAATAGTGCTTGTGAGCTTTGTGTATCCTGCTTGCGTTGTATGTGTAGCTTCTCGAACATAATTTTATCCATGTGGCCTTTGGCGCTTTTGGCTGCCACGTTTAATCCATACAATTCATCCAATCCAAATCCAATCCAATCATCAATCTATCTGGTAGGGGCTAGGGTCCTATTATTTATCTACTCTGTGGGTCCTATATTGCCCTATAGATATGGCCCAAATATGGCCTTGTAAATTGCTATGTTTTTGTGTTATGATTTCCCTGAAACTGTAAATTGTGTTCTGATGGTCTTTGTTGTTGTTTTTACAGGATTGACTGGATCTTGAATTTGTAGCAGTCTTCAGCATCAAGAGACCCTTATGCAGCATAACTGACATGATTCAATTGGTTAAATTCCCTTGTTGTCGTTGGACTTATGGAATTTTGCCATAAGCTTTTACTAACATCAACATGCCAAAATCTTCAGGCCTTTGGCAGGAAATATTTCTTTCCTGGTTCATGACAGTTGGGATTCCGTATGCACTGATATGGCTTGGATTAGTGGTAGCACCAACCTACCACTCAACATTTTCTTCAGTTATTCTCATTCATGCTCTAATAGGGCTATACCTGGTTATGGTTATTTTGGTGAATTTCAAAAAGGTTATCAACACAGACATATCAGTCAAGACATCTCCAGCTCCAGGTACTCTTAGTTCAATTGTGGGTGCTTTGCAGGGGTGTACAGCCAGGATTTCCTCCAGGAGGGGACCAAACTTACAGGGGTCCAAGGTAAACCCCCTCAAAATCCAAAAAGTCATCGGATTTCATCCACTATTTTTTGGAGGGGGCCCAAATAATGTGCCCCTTACTGTACTTATGACACCGCGATGGGGACCCTTTTGGGCTCCAGGGGGGGGGGGCCATGGCCCTATGGCCCCCTCTTGGCTATGCCCCTGGTGCTTTATCAAGTGTAAATTGTTGAGTGTGAATTTTAATTTTCTTGATTTTCTTTTTCTCAATGAGCTGCCAAGTGCCAATCATATGCTGATGACTCACATTGACTGGGGAAAATATGGCATGTGTTGCTAAGTCAAAGTTATCACTTGATAGTTTCTAGCAGGTTGAGCACATCAATGCATTTTCCTCTTTCAGGTCAGCCAGTATGTGGCACATGTCAAACAGGCCAGCCACCGAGGTCCCATCACTGCAGCAAATGCAGGCAGTGTGTTGACAAGAGGGACCACCACTGTCTCTTCACAGGTATGAACCAGTGACTTGATATCTCCATTCCTTAAGACCTAGACCACTGCCATACCAACCCATCCACCCTGATGCATGGCCATTGGCCAGTGCTTTTCTTACGCTGGCTGCCTACGCTCGTCGTCCCTGCGCTTGATGTTGTGTTTTTTCCCCACAGGCTGCTGCGTGGGCAGACAGAACCACCGGTACTTTATCTGCGGGATTCTGGCAGTGTTCGTTGGCTCCCTGTACGGCATCATCTACGAGTGGGACATGGTGCTGGAGGCCGCCGGAGGGTGAGGAACGGAAAACGGCCGGCGGTAACGAGAAGGGGAACATTTCCCGTTGTCTTCGACCGGAGGTAACGGTAAACGTGTTCTCAGTATTGGCTTCTGATGGGTTGCTGACGATAATAGATCGATGATAACGGCGACAGGGACAGGCTGGTTAGAAGCAAGGTTAGAAGCGCTTGACGACCGATCAGTAGCGATAACAAATCAATCATGACAACCAGATACCAATCAGTGTCGACCAGAGACCAATCAACATCAGTTAATGACCGGTTAGTAACGCGTAACGGTCATTTGACGGGTGTCCACCCTCTACCACTCCAGGTATTCGCTATGGCTGCCGCTGCAGTTGTCTGCTCCCCACCTGCTGTGGCCTTTTGGTCTGCTTGACGGATGGGGTCTGCTGGTCTGCGTGCACAACATGCTGGGTCTGTCCGTGCTCGTCAACGCCGGGTGAGTGTGCGGGAGAGGGGCTGGGGCCACGGGGTGGGCCGATGTCTTTTAGGACAGGGCATCATCGCTGTCATTTAGGGTAGGCCGTAGGACTAGGACGGCGGTGGGATTGCTCGAGATGCCGCTGGGTCAGTGGGGTGGGGAGAGGGGAGCTAAGTTCAGACAGGGTGGGGAGAGCGTTCCGGCTATTACACCTTTTTACGGCCAAATGTAGGCATAGTGCATACAGTTTAGTAATAGTTAGTGCAACCGATTTCGACATTTGGTCATAGACAGACTATGCTGTACTGCCGAAATCGCCCGCACTATTACTGAAATGTGTGCACTGCTGCTTAAATTGGTCGTAAAAAGGTGTCGTTAACGGGGGTGGAGACAGCCGTCAACCAGTCGAGCGAATTTGCTGCATCGTGACGACAGAATGTTACACTCAGATTTCGTACCTTAAACAAATGAACCCAGCCTAGTGTTGCCTGGTGTATGAATAACTGAAAGGGTAACTCATTTGCAAACTGCATCAAGCTGAACTTCGTTTACCTTCTGATGTTTCTCGTCATGCGAGGCAGTGCTGTCCGTCGAGATACTCTCTCCCAATCATGGATCACGTTGACTGACGCTGTGTATTTTTTCTACAGGCTTCTCGTGTATCTGCAACTCTCCGCTCTGCGGCGGGGACAAACTCAGTTCGAGCGGAAACGCGGCATCACTCTGTATGACCGAGGTCTGCGCCAGAACCTGCGGAATGTTCTGGGCGAGCGCTGGCTGGTGGCACTGTTTTGGCCGTTCGCCGACTCGCCTCTGCCAGCTGTGGAGGAAACGACGGAAGATGGCGGTGTCGGCGCGGGGAAGGCGGATATAGGTGACGATGAATGCAGTGAAGCAAGTGGTGAGCGGTTGGTGGGTGATGACCGTGATGACCAAATGCTTACAAAGAGACTCACTAGGCGTCCTTCGACCGATTGAGGTGACCTATCAATGGGCTGTGAACATCTCCATCGCGGCAACTATATTACGTTGTTTTCTTGACGGAGGACCGCTGTTATCGTGGATTTATCTTGCCTAGAATACCATGGAAATGGGACCAATTGCCATGCGGCTGGTTATCGATTATGAATCGGGAGGGGGAAGGGAGGTACGATTTGCGTGCGATTTTTCATTGGCTGTGCTCGCTGCCATATATCATGCTTTACATCGAGGTAGCAATTCGTAATGCTTAGTTTGCATCTATTGGGGCAGCAGTCTGCACCAGTCATGCCATTTTGATTATACTGAGTTCAACGTATGCTATAGAGATCATTGATTAGCTTATTTTGTATCCCTTGCCAACTACGCCTGCCAAGTGCCATTACTGATGACGATATTCGACCATATTGCGTATTATACAAACGTGCATTTGCCTTTCTCATATCATTTGATGGCAACTGTGAGTTTTTTTCGCGCGTTCATTTGCATTACAATTTAATATACCCATTACTTAACAGTGCCAACTTGCGATGGTCATAGGTCTGTTTGCTATTTTTTTTTTCGTATACCATCAGGCCTAGTTGCATGCATAATGCATATAGCAAATGCCAATGTTGTTCGTGCCATCCGGTGTTTTATGTGAATACGAGTAGTGTTGAAAATAAATGTGACTGCTTTTACTTGAAGCTCTTTGCTCCGGATGATAAGTTTTGTGCGTCAGCTAAAACGTCAAATGAATCTTAATCTGATTATTTTCATACATATCTATGTTCCGGTTGCATGTGGTTACGAATGCTTCTCAGTTCTCGACGACACAAGCGAATGATCGAAAGTAAGACGCTTGTTATTGAAACTACATATATTCATCAACGAATCTACTTTGAGAGGCTGTCATTCATCACGAGTGCGAGTTTCAAACGGTAGCAGGTCCGATCCACTGTACGGCACCGCCGGCTCCTGTCGGAGTCCCATCGTTCAAAGATCACAGCTCATTAAGTTCGCATCCTAGCCACACGTCATGTTCCTGTTCGCAAAGACAATTCATAAGTGCCCTCAGATTTAAATTCCTCATCGTCTTACAGTCAAACTAGGCGCATGCAGTTTCAAGAAACGTTTCTCCGTCCCGGGGCACCTTGTGAATCAGTGGAAACCCACGCCAGTGATAAACATTGGTGAACAAAGTCGCAGTGGCTATCACCCGTTCACTGGTCAAGCCTGTGACATGGTTCAGACCCGGTGTGCGAGAAAACTGTTCATGATATCGATAGAAACATCGCTGGCGCGCAAGTATAAAGTTGCCGACAGTGCATCGCAGCCCAGTGTTAAACGTCGACAGATTGGCGTCAGATCCGTCACCGTGGTACAACGCAGCAAGGGACCGGTGCTTCCTTGTTACTAGACACTAAGGAAAACACAAACACGAACGGAGACGATACCGTCCTGTGTCAATGCTGGTGCAATAGGCGATCAAGTTGATAAACTGGTAGAGATAGGTGTCATTAATTCCGCAAACTTCCACAAACGCTGCCGTCCAAAGGCAAAACCGCATATGTCGGGTCAGGTCATGACCCGACATATGCGTTTTTGCCTTTGGACGGCAGAACGGTGAAGCAGCCGTGTGCCGAATACACGGTAGGCACTAATATATGAATCCCGCAGCTGACAGATCAAATCAGATCAGGCATCTGAGGACCCGAGCCGTTCACAAGAACCAACCAACCTAAATCTTTCCCGGATGATGAGATATGGAGTACAAGGTAACAACAGTCTTAAAACAGACAGAACGCAAAGTCAAAATCCAGCACGATAGAAACTATAGAATGAAACATCAAAACAAGCACCACTAGCCATCAAAGCTTGAAACAATTCATCTATCCAGGCTAAAACAATGAAGCCACAACAGTAATCATCAGCCCTATCCCTTCTCACTTCTTAATGGTTACCGCTTCTCGTTCACACCCATAATTTTTTCGTAGCAAAGATCTTTATCCACCATTGACAGCACAAATACTATAGAGTTAATCGACTGCAAACAGCCGCCGGTTTTTATGCCAAGGCGGACCGCAATCTGCCGTTCATGATCTAAAACAAGCGTACGTCTGGGTCAGTCGTTACGCCAATCTGTCCAACAGACACCGGCTAGACAGCTGTAGAATCTGGTGGTGGCAGCTCACAGATGCCGTGGGACGGGCTGGGCATGATTTCGCCAATTTGACCAAACCTACTTAATCATACATCTCTGCGATATTGTCGAGCTCAACAAGCGATATTCCAAAACAATGAACAAGGTCAACGTTCATTAACTACAGAATGTTAACGTCTTTGTACGACTGTTCGCATCGCCAATGGTCGATGCTGATTCTGTAACGTCGCTCCTCCCCTAGACGAATCGCCTAACCGTCCCGTTGCCCACAGGGGTGGCAGCACGGGTACGGTTTCTCACCCCTTCGCCACTACGCTCGTATAAACTTCTCTCTGTAGAGACGCAGCTCGGCAATACTCTCCTGGATGTCGTCGAGCGCGCGGTGGGCGCACTTCTTGCCGCGGCGGCCGGCGTCGTGCAGCTCGGGCCGCCAGCGACGCGCCAGTTCCTTGAGCGTGGACACGTCGACGATCCGGTAGTGGAGGTGGTCCAGCAGGCGCGGCATGTACTTCATGAGGAACACGCGGTCCATATGCACGCTGTTACCGGCCAGCGGGCATTGTCCGGCCGGCGTCAGGCGACGGACGTAGCTGAGTAGGGTCTGCTCGGCCTCCGCCAGGCTGATGGTGCTGCGTCGCACTGCCTCAGTGAGTCCCGAGCGGCCGTGGTGCTCCACACACCAGGCGTTCATGGATCGCAGCACCGACTCGGGCTCGTGCACCACCAGCTGGAGTCCCGGCTCGAGCGGCCGCAGCGCGCCGTCCGTCACCACGCAGGCGGCCTCTAAGATCCGGTCCCGCTCCGGGTCCAGCCCGGTCATCTCCAGGTCGATCCACACCAGCCGGTCAGAGATCTGCGGCGGCATGGTGCAAAGACGACGGGCGTAACGCAGGTACTTCAGCGGCAGACGGGCCGCGCGGCTCACGCAGAAGGCCACTGTGCCGCCCAACCAGGTCGTCAGGCAGCAATGGTTTGCAAAAATGGTGATGGCTTGCTGCAAAAAATGGAAATTATTTTCACACAAATCATGATTAAAGTTATTTATGGGGTTACTACTGACCTATCCCATTACTCAAAACATATTTATCCACCCTACTCATCTAAACCCCCTCCAATTCTTTACAATGTTCATTACATCCCCTGCAAAGAACAAAAAGGCAGCATTTGCATGGCTGCCAAGTCTGACATTGACTAGTGTAGTGGCATAGTCTGTCTGAATCACCAAAATGTTATTGAACTGAAAATGTGACTAGAATACCTGCATTCTTGGTATCTTTATACAAGTTACCACATTCCTGCAAAAGGCACTCTTTTCAAAACAAGAAATAAATATCTTCATCTTGGCCTATGGTAATGGTTGGGCCGCCTTGGTTGGTTGGGCCACAAGAGCCCCCGATTTGTGTAGTCTCAAAGAAACTGCCATTCCAGTTCAAAACCCCATGATAAAAGTGGCATATTTCCTTAGAGGATTCATATAGCAGTAACAGTAAGGGGTGGAACTAGAGGCGAGACACATTGACATCAGTAGCGGCGGAACACTTTCAATTAAGGGGGGGGGGGGGCACTGCTGACTTTTGGTCCCATTCTTTCCATGGAACACCCATAGGGCTAATGTTGAAATGCCAAAATCAAAGGGGGCACAGTGCCCCGGTGCCCTCCCCGTTCGTTCGGACACGCCTAAGAGCTGGACTTTTTGATGACGTCTTCGGGTGACGTCATGTCGTGTGTGACGTTTCGTGAGCAGGTAAGGAAAAGTCACCACCGCTGGCGAACATATTGGTGCGGTAAATGGCAAACACAAATGCTGCGCAGAAAAGACAAATGTGTAACTTCAGTCAACATTCGTTCGGACGACAATGTCAAGGCGAATTTAGAAGTTCTTCATGCGATTGTTAGTTATCTGTCGTGCTATTTTAGTATGATTGTTATTAGCAGTTGATTTGTGAAATGTATTATCAAAATCAATGTTTATTGAACGCAGATTCAGTTTATTTTCAGATGTACCTAGGTCCTAGGTACCCTTACACTTCACTCATCTCAAGCTGTTCAAACACCCTTAACAAAGTCGATTAAGATGAAACGTTGGGTATAATTTATACTGTGTTTCCTCTGCATTATTAACATATTCATCATATATACAATATAAGGGCCACATGCTTTTTACAGGGAGACATGTCAGACAGCCCAGTAGGATGAGGCTTCGTCAAGCGTCATTTTTAGCAAAGCCTTCCTTGCTTAAAATCCAGTCTGCAAAACATGGCAGGGCTTACACTTTGGCTTACACTTGACTCCCAGCTGTTGTGTCTTTGCTATGCGATGTTAAACATATAAAACATCTTACTATTCATGTATGCGCCATGACTCATGTAATCTTTTCACAGCCAAGATGCTCCTAAGGTACTGGGAATGTGGGGAGTGCAGCAGCATCAGTGCAGCACCGATGGTTGGATGCGACGGCTGCGATAAATGGTACCACTTCCGTTGTGTGGGACTGACTAAGGAGCCAGGTAAGCGCAAATGTTTTCTGTCTTAGTATTTTTGTTGCAGCTCTAGTGATCAATGAAATATTTTCCGCACTGTTCAGCCAAACATGTATTTCAAACAATCTGCTTCCCAACCAAGGGCGTCGCCACAGGGGGGGGGGGACGGAGGGGATCTCGTCCCCTCCACTTTTTAAAATTCAAACATTACGCCTATGGCGTTGCATGTAAAGAATCGACTTGAAATGGTCCTCGTCCCCTCCAAAATGGTCAATGTCCCCTCCAGTCGTCGCACCGTGGCGTCGCCCCTGTTCCCAACTACACAAATTTAGTCAAACATTGTGCCAATATGGAATTTTCAGGTTCAGTTGAATGAAATAGGAACAATGATAATTGTAGATTACTATACCTGCAAGAGAGGAAAACAGAATACATTGTATTGCTTGTCCTTCACCGATACTGTTATTTTTCCATTTCTAGAAACACCGACATGGCGATGCAGGTGGTACTGCCTGGTGAGGCCGCGGTCTCCGGAATCGCCTGCAGACGAAGTCACCTGGCGTACATCTGCACATCACTTGCAGCAGTGGCCAGTGAGGCCTGCTGACAGCGTCTGGCAGTGTCGGCAACGTGCCAGCCAGCTATCTGGAGTCCTGCTCACCGCAGGTCGCCGACAGGAGGGGCGACGCATCGTCTCCGAGGTCGCCTCAGCAGCAGTGAGACCCCACTGGCCGTCTTCTTAGGCTTCAACTAGATTGCGAACAAACTATGCTGAGACAACGCCCATGACGTGTGATCCGGTACCGCTACCGCACTGCGTGCCTGTGCCCGCCGTGAGCCGCTAGTGCATGGGTTCGACCATGAGAATATGTGTTTATGTTGCTTTTACTATTGTTTATACGTTGAAGTGACGAATTGTTTATTTTTCGCAAGCCTCCGCTGTCCGGTTGCCTGCAGCTCCATGCAACGCCAGCTGTACTGTTGTTTTAATGTTGTCTCTCCGCTCAGCTGTATTGTTGCCTCTCCGCTCAGCTGTATTGTTGCCTCTCCGCTCATAACAACCTATGCTGAGACAACGCCCATGACGTGTGATCCGGTACCGCTACCGCACTGCGTGCCTGTGCCCGCCGTGAGCCGCTAGTGCATGGGTTCGACCATGAGAATATGTGTTTATGTTGCTTTTACTGTTGTTTATACGTTGAAGTGACGAATTGTTTATTTTTCGCAAGCCTCCGCTGTCCGGTTGCCTGCAGATCCATGCAACGCCAGCTGTACTGTTGTTTTAATGTTGTCTCTCCGCTCAGCTGTATTGTTGCCTCTCCGCTCAGCTGTATTGTTGCCTCTCCGCTCATAACAACCTATGCTGAGACAACGCCCATGACGTGTGATCCGGTACCGCTACCGCACTGCGTGCCTGTGCCCGCCGTGAGCCGCTAGTGCATGGGTTCGACCATGAGAATATGTGTTTATGTTGCTTTTTATACTATTGTTTATACGTTGAAGTGACGAATTGTTTATTTTTCGCAAGCCTCCGCTGTCCGGTTGCCTGCAGCTCCATGCAACGCCAGCTGTACTGTTGTTTTAATGTTGTCTCTCCGCTCAGCTGTACTGTTGCCTCTCCGCTCATATATGACACCCTCTATATGAATGGCACTACTGATTGTCACATCCACTGTCCGTATTGTCCGTAGTGGTGTCTACGCCCATGTTAATACAGCGTGCAGAATCCAGATTCTATTGAGGAGAGTTGAGCCAAGTCACGGCATAGGCTCGGGGAGAGAGCAACGTGGAGGCCCACTGCCCCTTCCTCGGCCCCCACTGGGGGCGCCAGCCACTCCAACTTTTGACTGGATGTCAAGAGCGTCGCCACGAGGGGAACGAGTCGCCGGCCAGCCAAGGTAGCCAACGGCGTGTGAAGGTTGCCTGACCTCGAGGAAACTGAGATGGCACCAACGGAGGTTTTGTTAAGTAGGCGACCAAAATTCGAGCGGCAGCAACCTGGGCACCTTCACAGATAGCAGTGCCGCGTATCAGGGCGCCTTCGACGTTGAGCTGGGCGCCGATCAATCCACTATTTTTCGAGCAGGTCCATAGATTTCCGTCCTCAAAAGTGCGGGGATATTCCCCAGTGTTTGAGTTGGATGGGACTATAGTGGCGTTTACACCGACAGGAGATTCCTATTGCCGGCTGTGGGAAACTACTGTCGGTGTAAACGCCATTCATATTTCCTGCGTCACCCCTGTGGGGACGCCCTTACTCCATGGTGCCGAGCTTATCAATTTGGATATCAACGGAATCAAAATCTCTTATCGATCGATGAAGAACTAAATTACCCCGACCCGGAGAGCATCTTTGGAATCAAAGCAGTAGCACATGACGCAACACTTCAGGCAAATAAATCCTTCTTGTCTGAAATAAAACATTTTTGTATTGATAATCACGTTTTATAAGCAATGGTAGCAAGATTCTCCATGTATTTGGTGTAAGTGATAATTTAGTAGCAGATACTTACCGTCGCATTTCGTTCATTTTAATTAATAATTTATATTGTCAGAACTAGCAACATGTCTCATCACTCAACAATAATTACAAAAGTGAAAAAGAAATGATAAATTGCTTATATTTTGGTGAAACTAAAAATTAATTCAGCACATATTTTTTTTACAGCGTTGAAGTCCAGCTCCAAAGGACAGCTGACGATCGTAGCCGAGCAGGCTGTTTGGTACTTCTTCACTACTTCTTAGAAGTACCCGTTAGTACCGATCATGTCTCACATAATAAGCTATTGGAACAAAAATATCCATGTTCTTCTAATTATTCTCCTTTCACACTTTAAATAAATACTTTTGAAATGCATTTACTAATAAATTTCACAAAAATGGCTTGAAATTTTACAACGTCAAAATACTTATTTCAATTTCCACCATGAAACCACCACTATATTACTTGCTTACAGAACCGTGCGTACAGTGCGCGCAGTTTTATCGTGACGTCAGAGGGTGCTTCCTCAGTGGCGCCCCCTGGCGGAGAACGCGTGCAAAAAGTCCAGCTCTTAGGCATGTCCCCCCGTTCCGCCGCCTATGATTGACATGGGCATTGAGCAGCATGAGCACAAATTGAAATGTGGGAGAGCTGGAGCCTCTGACATTCTTCACAAAAAGTAGGGCCTTGAAAAAGGTGAATTTGAGGTGTTGAGCATAAAAAACAAGTGAATTACCTTACCTAAATTATCCTTAAATTGAAATGCCACCATGCACCTAATTGCACCCAAATAAACTAAAAATAAATCAACATAAATAAATTCTTTTTTTTAATACCTAATACGTGTATTGCCTCAGCTGCGCAGTAACTGAAACTGATCAAAAGTAAAAATGAAGGTTTACGTTGTCTGCAATGCTGTACAATATCGATGCAATATTGGTAAAAAAATGTGTTAAAACTGAAAATTTTAAAGTGACGGATGTCATTATATGCTTTTCTGAATATCAAGAAAATGTTTTTAACTTTTCTATTCACATATCAAGCAGAAGACGGGAGTGACGTAATCAAGGCAGTATATACCGACGTAATGGGCGTAATGTAAACAAAACAAAACAACACGGGTAGAAATTGTGTGGGAATCGGTGATTAGGGTCGGTTGCTAGAATTTCTATTTAATAATGCACTGATTTTTAAGTGTACTTATGTTATTATTGGAGCTGGAAGCCAATGAAATACTCTGCGACACAAAAGCTAGAGCCTAGACTGAGACAAAACTAAAAGTGAAAGAGACTTGCCCCCGCCCGCCCTCACGGCTCGCGCATTGATAATTATTTTGATATGTCCTGCAGTTAGAGCTCTATTTGAGTTTTGACCTTCAGCTCACTCTCCAAAAAAGAAACACGGAAAAATAATTGCAAGTAGTATAGGTATGCGATTATAAAATATGTTCATGCAGTGGCGGCGGAACACCTTCAATTAGGGGGGGGGGGGGGCACTGCGGACTGCCGACTTTTGGTCCCATTCTTACCATGCAACGCCCACAGGGCTTATGTTAAAATGCCAAAATCAAAGGGGACACGGTGCCCCCTCATTCCGCCGCCTATGTGTTCATCCATTAGGTATTGCGCCCCTCGGCAAAATGGGTCACGTCACACCATAGGCGGCGGAACGGCCACCGGGGCACCATGATTTGGGACGGATTTGATTTGGGAATTTTAACATTAGCCCTATGGGTGTTGCATGGAAAGAATGGGGCCAAAGTCAGCAGTGCCCCCCCCCCCTTTAATTGAAGGTGTTCCGCCGCTACTGGGTCACACACATCTAGTATCTACTGTACTGAGTACTGTAGTCTGTACCTATATACAGCGGCCGTAAGTGCTCGCTTTGTACCCATTTCAAAGATTTAAAAAAAAAAATCACACAGCTCAATGTTAGAATTTTGATCCTCAGGACCGTCGCTCTCAGTCATGTCTACCATCGGAGACTTCGGGCCTACGGTGAGCCGGCTGCAATCGAACGTGCAGAGTCTTCAGGAGGAGACTGAGACATGTCAACGAGCCGCTGGCGAGCTGCGCGATCGGCGTGACTCGCTGCAGCGCCGTGTCGACGAGGCCGATCGGCAACTCGCCGAGCGCCGCGCCGCGCTCAACCAGTTTCAGTTCAAGCTGAAGAGCCAGGGCTTACTAGTTGAGGACTGCGAGAAACGCGCTAAAGGTAAATAGGTGCGCACCTGTTACATTTGGCGTGACTATTGATCCGTAACACCGGCTATTACAATTCGTTGACAGCGCAGATTACCATTAGTGACGGTGAACCTCCGTGAACCCTTCTCTGCCGCCCTTTATTTGAACACATGTGATCTACCCACTAACAATCGTCATACGGGGGTTCCACAGAGGCGGAACAGGAGAACGCTGCAGTGCAGGCGGAGCTCACCCAGATGCGGGACGCCATCGCCACTGAGAAACGCGAGCGACTCGAGCGTCTGGAGGCGGCGGACGGCCGCGTGCAGGGCCTCGCGCGCCGGTTCAGAGACGCTTCCCTGCTCTCTCAGCCAGATGAGGCGACACCGGTTAGTGAATATGGGCCTGGGGAAGAAGTGCTCCCTCCTACACTTATGGTGCTCTAGGGTAGTCAAATGTTACGCATAGGAGCAAACATACTTTAAAACAATCATCCAAAGTTTACTAGGATTAATTTGGCTGTATTTGTTACAGTGAAGCAACAATCGTCATTGCTAAAATTAAATGGATTTAGTGATAATACTCATGATAAATCCGTGTACCATTATGGCCCAGTTATTTTTCTTAGTAATTTCTTTAATATTGTGAAACACCAAACGGAAATTCGTGCACCTCTGATCTCCACATTATGTGTTCATGCAGGAGAGCGACTCTGAGGCGACTCGCGCTCGGGTGGATGCTGCTCGGGAGACGGTCGCCCGTCTCGTCTCTCAGCTGGAGGCCGATCAGGGACAGCACATGGTGCCTCCAGATGTGAAAAGCGCCACCCTGAAGGATGCGCAGGCCTGTGTCGACGGGCTCAAACGTCAGCTAGGGCTTTAGGTGTGAAGCGTAGCGCTGGCCGTGCTGTGAACAATGCAGGGGAGCCTCCACCAGGCAAGCTGCAGTGAGGTGGAGGCGGTTTCGACTTCGAACTTATCTATAGGTGCGTTGTTTTGCACCCTGGTAAGGTTTACTTTGTGTTGATGCAGAACATTTACATGTCATAGGAAGGCTGTGAAACATTTGCACATGACTCAATTCCTGTTTATTTTAAAAGTTAAATGCTCTGAATACAACATTATGACACCAGCTACAATTTTGGGTAACCAAACTGCGTCGAATTAGGTACCCGCTTAGACGTCAGACAGTGAAGCAGCGAACCCAACACAGCGTAACACATTGTGGAAGCAAGCACACCAACCAAAGTCAATGGTGGGTACGCCATCATCAGCGCCTCCTATCACACTTTGAGCGTTTCGTCAAGCTCCCCGCCCTCTAGCAACTCCTTGATAATATCCAAACCTCCAACGAGCTCACCCTTGACCCAGACCTGCGGGTATGTGGGGAAATCTGCGAACCTCTTCAGCTCCTGCCGCACCTCATCGTCAGAGAGGATGTCGAACGTACCGTACTGAACGCCGGTCGAATTCATAATCTCGATCAGCTGTCGCGAGAAACCACAGCGCGGCTGATCGCGGTCGCCTTTCATGAACACCTGGATGGGGTTGGCGGTGGTGAGCTCACGGAGACGCGCGTCAATCTCTTCCCGGGTTTTCTTGCAGGGCAGCGTGGAAGCGAGCTCGCCGCCGGAGACGAGCTCTTTGATGATGTCCAGGCCGCCCACCAGCTCGCCGTTCACGTACACCTGCGGGTAAGTGGGCCAGTCGGAGAACTTCTTCAGACCCTGGCGTACCTCGTCGTCCTCCAGAATGTTGAAACTGGAGAACTTGACACCATGCGTGTTGAATATTTCGATGATTTGCTTGCTGAAGCCGCACTTTGGCTCAGCTGGTGTGCCCTTCATAAACAGCATGCAGGGTGCCTGGCTGACTAGGCGCTTCAAGCGGGTGTTGAGGTCCTCCTTGGGTGCTGCTGGCGGTAGTGGAGGTACATCTCCCTGCTGCGCATGTGTCTGGACCTTCTTGGAGAGTTCGGCGGCCTTCGCGCCGTCCACACGGTCTACGGCGCGGCCGCCGCTGAAGAGGACGAAGGTGGGCACCGCGGCCACCGCGTGCTTCACCGAGAGGTCCGGCAGGTCCTCCGCCTCCACTGTGACAAAGCGGACATGGGCCAGCTGTGGGTCACGTGCCAGCTCTTCCAGAACCTCGTTCATCTGCTGGCATTGTGGCGCCCAGTGAGCAGCAAAGTGCGCCACCGTCAGAGAGCCCTGACATGAGGCTGTGAACTCCTCAGCAGTGGTGATCTTCGTCAGAGACATTGCACGGGCGATGTGCTGGCCACGCCAGAGAAAATACACACTGTGAAAGATAAAAAACAGTCAACCAATTAGACTCAGGCCAATGTAATTGCATGCCAGTACTGGGTGCAAATTGCAATGGCCAATGGTCATGGACAATGTTAATGTAAGGGATTGCAATCATACATCTGGTTCTTGAGAAACTGAAATGTTATGTACTCAACAAGTAACATTACACCAAATATGGGAATGCAATGAAAAATGTGACAGACCAAGAAACTTGTTTAATAAAACCTCACGAATAGTAGCCTGTCAGTCAGTTGTATTCTTTATTTTTCCCAATTGAGTGTTGACTTTGCAAAGTAACTTACTATTTCAATTTACAAATCAAAGGCATTGAATCATGATAAAGTATTCACAATGTATCCATTGATTTGGGGCATTTTTTAATTTTTTTTTATACCAATTAGCATCAATATGTGGGTTGCACCTTCACCTTGTATCAACTGCATAACTGGCTGGCTAAGGTTCACTTCTCTAGCATGCCACAATGTCAGGTTATTCAATCAACATTCAGTGGATTGTGCGCTCACGTCAAGGTACCCTGAAGTATGAGCGTCGCTTAAAGAAATCAATTTGCCTGAGCATTGCTCTATCTTTTAATACCTATGCAGCTAGTAAAAGCAAATATCTAGTATTTATCAATCAGACATAAAAGTTCCACTTTTATTCAAGTTCTTTTTGCTTCGATTCCAAATTCCTATAAATTTAGCATTTTAGAGTTACACACTATCAGTATGGATCATGGGACTCGTAGCATGTTTACACCAGCTCCTTAAAAAGTTATTGCCTCGTCATCGAGTTCAAATCCGCTGGTCATCACAGATTTCAATTTGATTGCGTGTGAAAAATTGCCTGAGCCACCTATCCCAAGCAAATCTTGGCTTTTAAGAGTTGGTTGTAGGATCGATCGTTCATGAGATATCTGCTTAAAATGCTAAATTATCATATAACTTACCCAATTCCAACCAGGCCACCGGCCTCTCTCCACAGTCCTATTTCACAGACTTGTTTACGCAATACAATTTTGTGCGCCATTCATGAAACAGACGCGCGAGATATGTCACCGATTTCCCTTCACCAGTTCGAAGAAAATCTGGGCAGCGTAAAGGGATCCCTCTGCAATCGTATGCCGCGACACTGGCCTCTGGCCTTTGCGTTCGACATCCGAAAAATGTGGGATAATTATCCGGGATATCGGATATCCGATTACTATTTGGTATTGCAGGGACATTGATGCAATTGGTCATATTTTCATATTTCTTTTGCTTCAACGGGCTGTTTTACTGTAAAGTAATCTTGGTTTTACTCGTTGCCATGATTGTTGTGCACGGTGTCAGCCTATAAAACATCGAATGGTCCCGGTGATCCCGGAGGGAAAACTATCCCTGAATATCGGGATGTTGAACGCACGCTGAGCGGGCATCCAGCCCTTCCCAGTCTTCGGCAAGCGCCATGAGTCATGGTTTTGTGCTAGGAATGCCTGGGAAAGAAAATTATTTTACTCTGCCTCCGAAGCTTTGTAAGGCTCATTTCGGCTACATGCGTATTGGGACTCAAAGGGAGTGCAGTGCACACTGCACACTGCACAGTGCACAGTGCACAGTACACAGTGATGAGTGAACCAATGCACATTGCACAATTAGCCATCCATGTCTCACCATCGCTCAACGCTCCGAGGAGGGGCCATCTCATGGCATGGCCATCGCGTCAAGTACTATCTCGGGTCATCGCCGGCTGTGAGCCTCGGTCTCACATGAATAGGTCCTTAGCTTTCAGTTTATGGCCACTAGATAAGTATAAGTGGATTCAGTGGAGGGCAACAGAGAAACATAAAACATTTCCCCTCGGAGCTTCTGGTTTTACCACAAACCAGTCACCTAGCCGTGACCCAGTGGCGGCGGAATAGGGGGTGCAGGGGGTGCAGCTGCACCCCCATCGAAAAACATGGGGGTGCAAACATATCTTTTTGCACCCCCAAAATCCGTACAAGGGGCCCGTCGCACCATCCAATACATTTTCTCCTGAAAACCAGTGATCGAGAAACGAACACTGATGTGGAATCATCCGGGATGTCCAATTATGGTCAGGAGCGCCCCATGCTAGTCTTTGGGGCCCCCACACCGACTAGAAGTGTTCCGAGCCGCGTTTGGTGCTCCATGCGGCATCTGAGGGCCCCCACGACAGCCTCAGAGAGCCCTTTTATGACGATCTCTGAGGGGCGAGGGCTCCCACGACGACCCCTGTCCCCTGGGCCCTACAACGGCCACTAAGGGCCCTCATGGCGACCGCTGAGGGTCTCACAGAGACTCTAGGGCCCCAAGGAGACTCCAGAGGCCACGCTGGCTTCTGAGGGCCCTATGAAGGCCTCTGAGGGCCCTATGACGGCACGGCCCTTACGATCTCTGAGGGCTCTCACGACGACCTCTGTCCCCTGGGGCCCTATAACGACCACTAAGGACCCTCATGACGACCGCTGAGGGTCCCACAGGACTCTAGGGGCCCTGCTGGCCTCTGAGGGCTCTCGTGACGGCCCTAGACCCAACTTAAGTCTGAGGGCCCATTTGGCTTCAGACGGCCTAGCGACGGCCTCTGAGGGCCCCAACACAACCAGGCTGCAGGGGCTATGCTGGCATCGGAGGGCCCTGCAACGGTCTTTTGAGGGCCCTAACGATGGCCTCTAGTGGTCTTACCAAGGCCTCTGAGAGCCCTGCAAATGTATCTGGGGGCCCATGAAGACCCTCACTATGGCCAAGGACCCTCATGACGACCTCTGATGATTCTCTCGAAGGCTTTTAAGGGCCCTCACAACAAATTCTGAGGACCCAAGGATGGTCCCTGAGGGGCTGAGGGCCCTGACGACGACCTCTCTGGGCCCTCACAATGGTCTCTAAGACCCAACGCAAGCTCCAAAGGCCCACGCTGGCGTCTGAGGGTTCCACGACGGCCTCTGAGGGCCTCGACGCAGGCAGGCTCCAGGGGCCATGCTGACCTCTGAGGGCCCTCTTGACGGCTTCTAGGGCCTAACGAAGGCTTCAAGGGCCAACGCTGGCCTCAAGAACCCTACGACGGCCTCGGAGGGTCTCACCTCAACGCAGGCAGGTGCCAGGAGACATGCTGGCCTCTGAGGGCCCCGCAGAATTCAGATTCAGAGGACCCAACGACCTTTGTGGACCTTACGAAATACGAAGGTCTCCGAGAGCTCACGCAGGCTCCTGGAATTCCACACTGATTCTCAGGCCCCATGCCGGCTTATTGCGGCACTATATCTGCTCTTGGTGCCCCGTCGCTGGCCTCTGAGAGTCTCAATGTCGGAACTTAAAGGGCCATGGGCCCTACACCGGCTTTTATGGCCCCTACATCAACTCTTGGGACTCATGACCCATGAAATGTGGGACTAAGCGGCTTCTAAGTCCTCAGAATCCCCATGCTGGTTCTAGTAGCCGCCAGCCGAATATTTGGGCACCCACGCGAGCTCCTGGGACCCCGTGCATATCCCAGGGGTCTACCTGCCTCTAAGACCCCACACATACTTTTGGGGCTCAAACGCTTGCCCCTGAAGGCCCCACTGAGACCACTTTCCTCTATTCAGTCCTCCATATAGGCTCTTTAGGCTAAACATCGGCTCCTGTGGCCTCCATCCCGGCTTTGGAGGGCCTCCATACAGGGTTTTTTGGGGGCCCGATGCCGGTTTCTGAGAGCCCTCAAAAGACTTTCGAGCCTATAATGCCTTCTGAAACCTTTCAGCAACTTTCAAGGGACCGACCCTGATCGGAGGGCTCATTCAGTCTGGGGAGTCATGTAGGTCTCTGGAGGATTCTCTATGTGGTCGGTTTCCAAGGGGCTTCTAAACACGGTCTTCTTGGAACGGTCTCGTAGGGCCCTCAATGGTCCACTGCGTATCCAGAAAAGTGGTTTGAGACGCTGCGGGTGGTGGCTAGACTCAAAGATAAGCCGATAAAAAACTATCTGCATTTGCTTCATTATGCTTTCATTATTTGAGATATGTATGTACGGCCCTCCAGGTATTAAGTGGTTGGTTGCCAACATCACAATAATCGCTCTGCATTGATGAATACGTTTTATGGCTGTTGAAACCCACTGCCGAAATGTGTGCACGAACCCTCTTCTCATTTCTATTGAGTCATTTTACAGGAGTGTCTCCGCCATTTAAAGTTATTACACCAAAAGCACATAGGCTAACCAACCACTCTTTTGCTGGAGGGCTGTACGTACACTGCAATTTCAAACCTTTTACAGAACTTGTGTGTATGGGGATAATTTTCCAAAATCTTCGTTTTTCATCAATCAATAATAAACACTCAAAAAATGAAGGGGGCCCAAAAACTCCGGAGGGGCCCCTTGAGAAAACTTTGCACCCCCATCCAAAATTACCTTCCGCCGCCACTGCCGTGACCTAAGCTCTGAAGAACGAGGTACATCGGTGCTTCGCAGAAATAAAACTGATTTCATTCGCTGCCAAACTTTAAGCCACGCCACTTCTGAAAGCAGCTGTCCTTTCCTTGCTAGTGTGCTCTGTGCAGAGCATCATCGCGGACCCATCTGGCGTCTGACGTCTCGTTGTAGCTTCCTCTCTGATCAATGGGGCTCTGTCGTCCTATTCCCCGCGCCAGATCCGCACTGCGGAGGCCATGAGGATGTGCAGTGCACACATTTGCACATTTCTGTGCACATTAGTTAGCCCCGGTGCCGGGCGTGCATGTTCACCGGTTTTGCATTAACGATCTGATCTTCCTTGAAAGAGCATTACTGGTGGCATTGAAACCGGCTTGCTTGGTACGGTCATTATAAATGCACTGTTGGTGTAGGCACTCGTAGTGAGGTGAGTACTTGGATGACGTCAAATCACCCATTTCACCTAGCATGAGTCGGTGCTCAAGGTATATGAATAGCGTCAGCATGTTACCTAGCTGGTGGTTGGATTTTGATTTGAACATATA